AAGAGGAGATTTCGACTCAGTGACTGAGTCTTTCGTGAATAGTCATTGAGACAGGGTTCTCATGACGCTATGTCATACTAGGTCGATGTGAAACATCGCGCTAGATATTTAGCTGGCGTGGAGAGATTCCACGCTACTAGATAAATGCTAGACGAATCTTCCACGCGTTCCGTTTTTGGATCGTGGAGTGTAGGATTGCTACCGCAACCTACTCTATCACACTCTACAGTCTCCCGCGGGAGTTCAGATCTACGATCCTTTGATTGTGGATCTCTCTCGTTGATAGTTTTCATACTTTCTAATCCTCTCATAACTCTTTCATTCTCTCAAACTCAAAACACTCGAAAGATCTTTACACTAGCTTTTAGCGTAGTGCACGCTTTATGATGTGAGGCTGGATGGTGCTTGGTGAAGTAGTCTGCTCTGTTGGTAATGCCAGGCCTCCAGTAGATGGTGAACTGGCCTTGCTCAATGCGGTCCTTGAGCCAATAGAAGCGCATGTCGATTGCTTTGGAGCGCTTCTGTTTCACTGTTCCAGACAGGATGCCTTCAGCACATTTATTGTCGGTTTGGATTGGTGTTGCTGGTTGTGGATGCCCCATTTCAATGAGTGTTTGTCTCATGGGGCATGCTTCTTGTGCATTGTTGAATGCTGCTCCCACTTCTGCTTCGGCTGCAGAGCTGAGGACATTTTTCATTATCTTGGCTACGACGTGGATGGCTCCATTATCTGGTGCCTTGTCGATGTTTCCATTACTTAGAAAGAGGTAGCCTCCAGCTCTAGATCGTGCTTTGGGTGCTGATAAGCAGGAGGCGTCTGAATGGAGGTGTAGGATCATGCCGCTGCTGCGGTATCGGAGGATCGCATCCGGATGAGAGGCTGCATAGTTGAGTAGCATTACGGTGGCTTGCAGCGTTTTTTCGGTCCCTTGCGTTTGTTCTGCCGCGATGTCGCCAAGTGCGACTAACATCGTGCTGTCGACAGCTCGTGCGTAGTAAAGTAGGACCCCTACGACTTCCTGGACGTGTTTGATGGCCTTGGACGACAACGGGGTAGAGTTGTCGGCAGGGTCCGTGTATTGGATTGGTTGTCCGTACTGTGGGACGTTCCATTTGTGTGGTGCGTTCTGCTTGTGCTCTGGGTGTGGGTGGTTGAATCGCTGTAGCGCTCTTTGGACATACCCGGGCATGGAGAGGTCCACCGTTCGGTTGATGTAGTCCCAGTCTAGGGTGATGCCACAGTAGAGTTCTCCGTCCCAGTCCTTCGTGATTTTGTATTTCCGTGCGAGGATATCTATGAGGTGCTGTGCATTTTCTTTTCCCACGTAGTTGACTCCGAAGTCATCGACTACTAGTGTAAATGTGACTGGTCGTTGTTTGTGTCGGAACAGGCCATGTACATGGGCTGATTGATGGTAGCCGTGTTCGTTCAAGTGTTGTACTAGGGCGTCATTGGCGATTCGTCCTGCTTGTGGTAAGCCGTACATTCCTCTGATGATTTCTACCATGACGAATCCATTGTGGACAAGGTCATGGAGCTGATATTGGTCCATGATCTCGTCGGGGATGATATCCACGGGGATTCTCATGTATTCTGGTCTTTCCATTGGAGTCATGAGGTAGAAGTCCTTTATATCGATGGACATGAACTTGGCATCAGGGGTAGATAGGACGCTGTTTAGGTTCATTTTCACTGTTGTGAGCGAGGCTGTTTTGGTGCTAACGTCGAATGGGTATTCAATTCGATCACCGCCTACAGTGAACCTGACTCGTCTTGTCTCGACTTTCTGTGGTCGGTCATCACACACCACTCGCAAGTATGTTGGTTTGCGTCCTTCAGGGACGTCGGTGTGTCGGATGAAGCGGATTGTTTCGGTTCCTTTTAAGCCGGTTGAGGCTCTGCCCTGAGCTAGTCTGCCCATTTCATTGCAACAAGCGTTGATCCAGAGATGTCCGTCAGTTGATTGCTTGAGGACTTTATAGTCTGAGAGAATGCCGGTGTCTGGGTTGACTGCTTTGTGGGCGTGGTGTTCCGTGGTTGTTCCGGTGTCCAGTGTAGGTGGTTCCGGCGACTGGATTGGATCCGGTGGTTTTGTTCGCTGTAGTCCTTTCTTTTTGCGTTTGCCTTTCGTGGCTGCTGTCGATGCATACGTAGGCTGTTCTCCCGGCACCCTCAGAACTCGGCTATGGTCATTGGCCGATTGTTCGTTGGTTGAGTGCGTTATCTTGTCAGTCGCTTCGGCGACGCTGTTGGGGATCGTAGGTTGGTGTAATCGTTTGTCGCATATGCTTGCGAGGTCGAGGAGTGTTGCGGCTTCACTTTCAGTTAGTGTTTGCGACGACGGTGTTGTGTGGGGCTGCTGCAGAGCCGTTGCTATGTCGCGGATTCCTCCAATTGCCATTTGGATTGGTGTTGGCAAAGGCATCATGAGTCGTTCAGGGAACCATGATAAAGTATCCGCTTTTCGTTCACGTTGTGTATCCCATATCCATGTGCGAAAGCATCGGTATGCGTCTAGCTCGGGGCCAATATACCATCCATCCTTTCCTTTAGGTGACCAAGATGCCCTTTCTTTGGGCTTTTCGTGGACGACTACGTGGATTCCTGGAGGCGCAATGGGGGTGGCCGTGAAGTCGAAATTGCCATATACTTGTGCATGTGCTGATAAGGCCGGGTTGATCCGCGATCCTCTGAGCAAGTTCAGTGTGATGGTGCATTGGGGAATGAGACGATCCCATAAGTGTAGTGGGAAGTTGCTATCGGTGGTGCATAAGCCCGCTATGAGGTGATTTTTGTAGGTCTGGATTGCTCTTTCAGCTGCATTTCTGCGATGTATGCCTGCTGGGGTTGTCTGTAATTGGACGCCCTCTGCATGGATGTGGTCTTTGAGCTGTTGGGAGCATTCATTGTCTAGGATGTGGAGCTTCGGTCTGAGCCCTGCTCGAACCAGTTTATTGTGGATTGTCGTCCATGCTTTGACATGTGCCGTGGCTGACTTGTTCTGCATTGGTTCTGCATGGATGGAGTTGCTGTCGTAGTGGTACAGGATGAACAAGTAGTTGTTGCCGTTGCTGGATGGAGTGAAGAATCGTCCTGTTTGGTCCGAGAATGATTTGCCTGTGGGCTGTAATGTTGCTGCGTAACAGGCGTGTTGGTGTATGTTGTTTCCTGGTTCTTCGTGTTCAGGAAATGCATCGTCATCTAGTTCTGGTAACAAGGGGAGTGGCTCCGGTTCCTTTTTGGTTGATTGGATGCCCTGCCTCTGTTGGTTCATGTGCCCTTTTGCCGTGGCTAGGGAGTGTGGGGTATATTTGGCGAACGTTGCCGTAGTTAATCCTGGGAAGTTGTGGATGTATCCGTGCTTTAGGGCTGCTTGGAGTGTGGAGTTCACGGGGGAGAAGAGTGCAGCATGTGCGAATGCGACTAGATCCGCTGGTGTTGCGTTTGGCGTGGTTGCCATTAAGTTGGCTGTTTCACGTGGTTTGTCGCCTGTGTGGAGGTCGATTTCCCATAGGTGGCTTGTTGCTGGGTCGCGATTGCCAGTGAGGATGACGTCTCCCATGAATGTAATAAGGCATTCGTGTGCCCTGAAGAGTGCCTCGCATCCTGCATCGCATAGTTTGCCAATGGATAATAGTGAGGTGTTGCCAAGTGTGGGGAACAAATGGGCTTGAGTGGCTGCTTTCGGCAGGTTCGGTATGTCTAGATGACAAGTGTGGGTTGATGTGATGACAGAATTGTCGGGGAGTGTGACCCGTATGGGGTTGTTTGTGGTTCGTATATCTACGATAGTTTCATTGCATATGGCTATGAAGTCCGTGGACAAGAAATGTCCGGTGCTGCCTGTGTCTGCAATGATAGGGGCATCGGTGCTGGCTGTTGCCGGCTGTTTTCTGCCTATTTGTGTTGTCGGGGGACCATTCGGTTTGGTTTTTTCTGTTAACTTATCCGCGTCTATATTGTGTTCTTTTACTGCTACGTGCGACTTGGATTTTTGTTGTGTTACCTTTGGAATTGGCTCCCATCGAACTCAGCGAGTCGCTGGGGGCTGTTGGTTCTCTTCGTTTTCGCGTTGAGGGCGTCTGTAGACAGCTCGCTCTCCTGCTTTGCGACGGATGATGCAGCATCCTCCTAGCATGTCGTTGCCATTGGCTTCGACCATGTGTCCTGGTGCTTTCTTGGTGCAGTTCTTGCTGGTGTGGCTGCTGTTCGTTCCAAGTCCGTGCGACCAACAATAATACATTGGTGCTCCGTTATCCAAAGTGATTTTGTGTCCTTTTTCGTTGCTGTGCTTTTCCACAGCTTTGTTCGCGTAGCCCACTTCTTTGGGTGTGAGGATGCGGCGCCTTTCCTTGTCAGCGGCCGTGAAGTGGGATTCGAGCTTGGGGAAGGTTTGCTCGGCGTCATCTAGCTTCCTCCAATCCTTGATTGCATCGGTGAAAACTCCACTGTTGGAGAGGTTTTTGATGGCTGCTCTGACTGCCATTTTGTCTGAGATAATGTCGTGATCTGCTGCAAATTTCTGGGCATCTTTGAGCTGGTTGTAGAGGTCTTCAATTGGTTGGATGGGGCTCCATTCGGCATGCATTCTGTTCATGTTGTCTTCCAAGTCATCGGCATTGACTTTGCCATATGTGGCATCCAAGTGGGTTAGGATGGTCAATGCTGTCACCTGGGCGTATCCGTACATTTCGTGCTTCAATGACTTGATGAATGTGTCGGGGATTGCCTGTAGGAGTTGCTTTTGGAGTGCCGTTTCTGTTGCTCGGTAGGTTAAAAATGTTTTTTCGTTGGATGCGTACAAGCGGTTGGTTTCAGTGATTTGTGCACTGGTGGGTGCATCGCCATGGATGGGATTTGGCCCTGGGTGGACTGGTGTGACCCATGGGACGGCATTGGGGAGTGCAGTAAATGCTGCAGGGGGAATGACTAGGGCGAGATGGCCGTAGTTGCCTCCGCCAAGAGTGGAAGGAATGGCCATGGCATTGGCATTCAACTCTTGGTGGATGATCTTGAGGGTGTTATAGGTGGGCTTTTCATCAGCCGAGATTGCCGTCAATGTAGCGACGGTGAAGTGGTCGAGTGCCACAAAGGAAGACATGGTGGTGTTGTTTGACTGCAGCTAGTAGCGAGAGCTTGTGCTGTTGCTCTTCACTGTCGTTGCGGTGGAGAGTTGGTCGGTTCAGTTAGATTGTTAATAACTGTTGATCCAGGCAGGGAGCCTAGTGAAGAATTGTTAGTAAAGGTTTGTTATTAACAATTATGAGCATGGTAACTGTCCCAAACTGGAGCACACAGGCCCAGCTGGGGAGTGCCAACTCTAACAGCTGCTAACGGTTTTGGCTACCCTGCTTGTGGGATTACAAGCAGGGTGAGAAACTAGGGGGCTTGCTTGCATATTAATAGTGGCTGGGATCTGGTACATGACTCAAAGACTTAAGGGTCATGGTACCAGATCAACAATTAGTCTCAAACTCTAGAGCTATTAATTATTCATTAAAAAGTCTGTGGCAAATCCCTGGGATTGAAAAGGGATAGGGACTCAGTACTGATTCTACTGCTGCCAAAAGTGGATTTTGGCTGAGGTCGCCCTTTTGTCTACGGTCTATTACCGGTCTGCGCAGGTAACACTCAGTACAGAATCTACCTAGAAATTATGGCGCAGAGTTGTTTTGAGGATGGCGCAGAGTTGGCCATAATTGGAGCTGGTAGATTCAAAACTGCACGGCAATCCCGTTTCGCGCTTTGGGGGAAATGGCCTTCGCCAGTTCGCTAAAGAAAGGCCTCGCGGATTCGCCGATCGCTGACGTACGTCGCTGACGTACACTGTAAGCGAAGGTCAGTGAGCCAAGGTCACTTTTTACAACAGATGTTCGCAATAGAGGTTCGCTACTTTAAGTTAAGCCAATAGTCAACACACAACACACCTCATTGACAGTACTGTTGCTTGTTTGAGGCAATGCCAACCTTCAACGATGGACAACGAGTCAGGATTATTGGGGGAACCTACAAAGAACATCGGTATGGGGACTTCAGAGGTTACTGTGGCTCCTGCAAGTGCAGGGTAGCCATTGACGATGATCTTCGAGAAGAAAGAACCATCAACATTACGTCCATCAGAGCCATCAAACCGAGTGAACGAGAGGCGTCAAAGAAGAAGCCGACTAAGAGAGAGCTACAGGCAACAATCGATGCCATGTGTAAAGAGATGGAAAAGATGAATTTACACATTACCGCCTTGGAAGAGGCGAACGATCTACTAGAACAAGAGCTGCAAGTGTTGCGTCAAAAGAAACGTTTTTAAGATAATCATGTATTAGTGCTTTAATCGCTACTCTCGCTGCTCTTCTTTCCTACTTTCTTTCCACGAGGCTTGCCTTTCGAAAGGTAGCTCAAATCTTGCAGATTTTGCACCAGTTTGCCAACACTTCCACCGGCACCAGTGAATAGAGCTTCCCACTGCTTGATGATAACCGGTGGTTGGACGTTTTGTTGTTTGGCCTGTTCCATGATGCCAACCACCAGCCTCTTGTTCCTTGACACATGTGTATTGTTTAAGTGCTTTCGCCACTGAGCACCAAACTTATCATTTCTACCCGCGATACCACCATACGAATCAGCGAACTCCCCTTCTCCAAACCATTCATCCCATATACCTTGAAGCGATGTATGCTGTTTCTTAAGCAGGAATTGGCTGGCATCACTTAACGTACCGGTGACTGGTTCAATAGCAACTGATGGTTGTTCCCGTCTTCTTACAACTGTTCGTGGTTCGGAATCCTCAAGAACCTCCTGGACGTCTTCTTCCGTGATTTCGAGTGGACTGTTGGGTGGAGTCAAGTCCTCGTCTTCCTCTGTTGACTCCAGCATTTGGGCACCAGCCTTAACAAGACATGCCCCAACTCGCTTATCAGTGGCCACCAGGTTCTGTTCTCCGAGTTGCTTCACTGCATCCTGTACCTGTAACATGCCCTTTTCAACCTCTTGTAGGACCATGAGCGTGTTGTTGTCAACCTTGCTTTCCAGCTCCTTGACAGCCGCATGGGTAATCTGCAAGCGCCGATGAACACCAGGGAGTACTTTCTCTAAGTTGGCGTCTAAGGGGCTCGTTGATTTCTGCAATGACACAGCGAGGTAATCTTTATAATCCTGTAAAGGGAGGCGATGGATGATGAGTACAGCAATGACAGGTTTGCATGCACAGCGGCAATAGAAGTAACTCACGTTAAAAAGCTTGGTTTGTAGAAAGTCCATGCAGTTCACCAGGGGATGCCCCTCCATTCTAGCTGGGTGCAATACCATCATAGCGGCAACGTCCTGCAGAAAGATCAAGTTCATCTCGCTGAAAAATTTCAAGCACTCCACCGCGGTCTGCTTCTCTGAATTCTCATCTGCTTCAAGCAGCGCTTCCAATGACTTGTAACACCACTTACCAATGGGTGTACTGCGCAACAGGGCTTCGCTTGGCAGCACCTCACTCCTTGGAAGATAATAGATCTTGGAAGAATTTGTGAATCCAGCGAGTTGTCTGATTTGCTGCATTGGAATCTTACCCGAGTAGCTGGTATCAAAGACACTTGGGCTCCAGTTCCCCATCTTCTTAATATCGTCGGCTGTGACATCAAACAGCTCCAGTGTCTTTGCTCCAATGTTGCGCCCAAGATGAAGCAACTTGTTGCTGGGAAGCCCAAGGTGCTTCAGGACCTTCTTGATGTAGTCGCTGTAGGTATCATTTTTCATGCTCTTCGTGTTGTCGTTGCACTGGATGTCAATCAGGAATTTTATGTCAAACCATTTCTGGTTGTCCATCCAATCCTCTGCTGTAAAGGAAGCAAATTCGTTTGTGCTGTCAATCCGGAGCATCAGGTAAAAAGCGGTGGCTCCTAGTGCACACCGTCGAACGTCAGCATGCCTAGTCGCTCTACCAAACAGTTTCCTTCCGTGGTTGGTCTTTCCTTGGGCGATCTGCATGATGGCCACATAAGGGACGTGCACGTCTTCATCTCTTTTTGGCGGATTCAGCCCAAAGAAATCAGACATTTCTGCCCTGTAAATTGATTCGCTTCTGAGAATGGCACTTGTGAGAAGTAGTGTACACATACGGTGTCTGATCTTGGAGCAAAGGCTTCTAACTCCATTCACGGATTTTGCATCCTCCCACATCGTTTGCTCAATGAGACCAAAGTTCTGAACACAAGCGTACGGAGCAAACTCTTGATCAATTTTTTCCTCGTAGTTGGCTTTGCGAATGGCAGGAATCCTCTCCTTTACATGCTTCTCAAGGTTCCTGCAATCAACATCCCAGATCAGCTCCCAAGGAATGGCATTGACAGCAAGAGCGACTTGCTTGGAGTGGATGCCTTTCAATGCCGTCCTGTATTGGTTGAAGCTGGACCAGCCAAGTGGTTTTTTTGGAGGGACAAGCTCAATGTTTTCTCCACCCTCCTTGAAGGCCTTGTCGAGTTTATCCCATAGCAACTTGTCGAAAGCAACCTTGGCCTGCCCATTGGCATCTCGTTTTCCACCAGTCTTCTTCTTTTCACGCATTGATTGTAGAAACATAAATTTGTAGACTTTATCTTTGTCAACATTGTGTTTGTATTGGTCATTCTTGTAGGCATATTCACACCAGAGTTCGAACTCCTTGACTTTGGGGTCAATAGCTTTCATGGTCTTAGTCGGTCTGGTGCCTTCTCGCTTGTTGTTGATGAAACCAACCATTCCATGTGTCACTCCTGAATTTGCTGGATTGCGCAAGATAACGCCGCCTGTTGCAGTAGCCGCGACATCATGACCATTAGCTGCTGGTGGTGCTTGTGGAGAGCGTGCAGCGACAGCATGCTCCGTTCGTGCAGCGGCCGATCGGCCATTGCGGCGTTGCCGTGGTGTTGTCTTTGCCATTGTTGTTAGCTAGCGTGGAGAGTGTGGTGTTTGTGGTGCCAATGCGAAAGCCGATTCTCAATCGTGCCTGCGGATTGACATGGCTAACTGGGACAAGCTTTTCTTGCAACTTTTTGGTGCGAAGCTAGAAAAGGCCTGCCTTAAGTGGCAGCTTGATGGGTGACGAGTGGTTGAGGGGTGCCTTTTAGTACCGGTCGTTATGTCTGCTACCCAAATTATTAGCAAATAATTCGCGCGACACTGCGCGAATTGTTGCCCGATAACCTGGGCCAAATCTGGCTCCCAGCCAAAAACTTGTCAAGATTTTTTGTCTCAGACCGTATTAATAGATTGATTGAAGCTCGAAGCTCGCAAACAGGCTGATGGGGCTTAGCGCTCCTTGCCGGCAGCTTCAGATCTACAGTCTTACCGTAGTAGTTAGTAGTTGTTAGTTGGGAAGTGCGTGTTTGCGGATGGTTGTGTGGATTGTGGATCGATCCAAGCCCGGAGCCTCGGGCTGGACCGGACCGGACCGTACCGGAACAGCCTGGTACCGGTGGACTACAGTCGTACGGCACAGTGGCATGACGGGGGATGAGCAAAATTGCCAATAGCCCTGCATTGTAATTGATAGCGTTTTTTGTAAAAGTGTATGTGAAAAAGCGAATATTTGTTTTGGGCTGCAATTTTTCTATTGGATTAGATCGGATTGGATTGAATTGAATTGCATTGAATTCCAGTTTACTATACAAATAACAGTACAATTTGGAAACCAATTCAATCCAATTCAATCTAATCCAATGCAATCTAATCTAATTGAATCTTGCTTCCAGCCAAAATGTTCATTTTATCCTTTTTCTGACATTCTGAGTCACTCCTGTTGAGTACACTACAGCCCTATAGCAAGATTTGCCCATCCCCACGGTTGTTTCAGAGTTCAGATAGAGCTCTTCACGGTGCACCGAAAAAAAGCTACTGAGGAGTACCGGTGTACCGGTGTACCGGTTGTATTTTTAATAGCCAGTGAAACCAAGATTAAAACAGGAAAAGGTCACAAAGAAGGAAAGTTTCGGAACTCCTTATGGACTGTTACTGCCCAATGTTCCTATTGGTTCCATTGAAATTCTTAGAGCATCCAATCCGCTCACTTGCTCATTGCAACAGCTCTCGCAACTTACAACTTGACAGTAGCTAGCTGTACAGTTTTAGCGTTTTAGCTTTTTAGCTACCAGCACCGTACAATTTTACAATTTTATGCGTGAAACCTATAAACTATTTACTATTTTAAGAACGGTGCCCAGCTCTTTATCATTGATTGATAAAGCGACAACACGAGAACGAGAAGCTTCGCAACCATCGGGATCTTCCTTCCCTTTTGAGTTCATCTTCGCGAGCAAGTAAAGAAGTTGTTTGCTGCTGCCAAAAGAAAAGAAACAAAGTTCTGAAGGCCATGCCAAACGCAATGTGTAAGACAACTAGACGTCGCAAGAGATCCAAGACGATGAAGAAGCCTCAAAAGATGGACCTCTATTGCCAAGCTGTTGAGCAGGCCGCTGAGACCTGGGAGACTGTGAAGCAATTGCCAAACTACGAGGAGCTTGTGGGCGAATTGCTCTTTCGAGAGTGAGTTCGGGTTGTTCTCGGGTTTGTCTGTTTTGTGGTTGAGTTCTGCTGATCTAACTAACTACTAACTATCCTCTTGTTTTGTGGCACAGAATCTTTGAGATTGCGCCCGCAGCACTCCATTTGTATTCTTTTGGTGGCGACAAGGAGATTTCGCAAGACAACAAAGTCCCCAGTTCTGTGTTTGCATCACCTGCTTTTCTGGCTCACGCCAAAGGCGTCGTGGCCATGCTGGAGTGCGTCATCACCATGATGTTGGGCCAGGACATGGAACGGCTAGCGACATCTCTACACGCCTTGGGAAGCCGTCATGTGGACTATGGTGTCCATCCAGCACACTACAGCGTTGTGGAGACTGCCTTGCTTCGAACCTTGGCGGGTGCCCTCGGTGACCAGTGGACAGAGGATGTGAAACGAGGGTGGGCGGCAGTATTCAAGTTCATCAGCAAAGCCATGATGTCAGGGGCCGGTGCCGAACTTCAGATCATTAAGGATAGACGGCGAATGCTGGAGCGGAACAAGTCTGCCACACTGAGACTGAAAGTGATTGGAAACAGCAATGGGATCTCACGTTTGTCACGGAGTGGAGTGAGCACTGTCAGGAGCCGACATTCCCAACCAAAGACCCGCAACACAAGTCCCAGCAGTGATCCACCCAGAATGCCTTCTCGAGGAGGAAGAGGACGACGACGCCGTCGTGGTTCCAACCTCAGCAACCATAGTGGCAGCAGCAGTGATGGCAGCAGCAGTGGTGCTCGAGTGAGTCGACGATGGTCCGATTTAAGTCCCTTTCGAGAAGACGACGAGCTGACGGCCTCCTCGTCCGAGGAAGACAGCCGGTTTCGAGAAATGGCTGTCTCCCCGAGGACAACGCAGCCTTGCAGACAGGCACCGCTGCCGGACATCATTGTCTTTCACAAGGAAGGCAGGATGAGATCCCAGGACAAAGACAAACCCGATGGCCACTCTGACCAGGCTCCCAAAAAACCGACACGGTTGGGCTCTATGGAGACTGAGGAGAATGGTGACAGCTTCTTGGTCTGCAAGGTGGAAAAGAACAGAGTCTCGCAGGACAATATGGAAATGACGGTCGACTCCACGTCCACCTACGACGATGAGCTTCTAGTGAGGGAAAACGACACCTACTGGAGAGAAGAACTCATAAAAGTGGTTCATGTGTAGGCGAGCCAGGGACTACAGTCGCAATCTACTCCAAACAATTGACTTGCTACAGTAGCCAATCACATAAAACCAAAATTTTTATCACAAACTCTGTCTACGTCGATTGCTTCTCCAGTTCTGTGTTGGCAATTTCGATCAAATCTAGGGACGTTTGTGTATCCGGATGATCCGTACCCAACACTGACTCTTGAATGACAAGTGCTTCCTTGTACTTCGACAGGGCTCCGTCATAGTCACCAATTTGCTGGAGCACACCGCCCATATTTCTGTAGGTTGCTGCCACAGCAGGATGCTTCTTCCCCAATACAGACAACCTAATGGCAAGGGATTCCCTGTACTTTGCCAATGCACCCTCGGAATCTCCCATCTTAGACAGAACCGAACCAATGTTGTGGTGTGTATGTGCCACATCAGGATGATTCTTGCCCAATACTGACTCTTCAACGGCAAGAGCCTCCTTGAACTTTGAAAAGGCTCCTTCATAGTCACCCATCACATCCAGAACAGAGCCAATATTGCTGCAAGATTCAGCTGCATCGGGGTGATTTTTGCCCAGCAATGACAATCTAATGCTGTGAGCTTCTGTGAATTTTGACAGAGCACCTTCATGGTCACCCATGGCCTCAAGCACAACTCCAATGTCATTGAAAGATTGGGCCGTGTCAGGATGATTCTTGCCCACCACTGAAAATCTAATGTCAAGAGCTGTCTGAAGCATTTCCAAAGCTGTGTCATAATCACCTACCGCAAACTGTACAACTCCAATGCAGCCATAGGTGGTTGCTGTGCTCTTGTGATTTTCACTGAATGCAAAGTTACAAATGTGCAGAGCAGCTTGATGGAGTTTCATAGCTAACTCAGGTTCTCCGTTCTTTTCAACAATAACACCAACTTGGTTGCAAAAGTCCACATATTCCTCATCGATGGTAATCTCTCTACTCTCCACCAGCTGAGTCAGGGTCCTATGCATCCATCCACGAAGCAATATGTTCACTTGGTTGTTCAGCTCATAATATCCTACGTCAGATTCCACTTGGCTCAGAATGGACAGCCTGTCACTTTCCACAGATGCCTTGGCGTCCTGGACCTTGGTGCTTCCCAAGGTTGCATAAAGTGCATTGACACCACTGCCCGTATCAATCACATCCTGCTCCAAAGAATCCTTCTCTTTTGGGGGCATGACAATGTCTACTTTGCATTTATCTGTGGTGTGAGCAGTGAATATCTCGAAGATGCACCAGACTCGAGTGATGTACACAGGGGAATGCCACGGAGCCATCATCGCCAACACATGCCCAATCCTCTTGACCCTTTCTCCAAAGATGGCAAAGAAATCAACCTGGGGAGGAGCTGTCATACCTGAGTTTTTCAATGCAGAATTTTCCACCACCCTATGTTGATTGACACACAGGCAGCATATCCAAATATAGGTCCTCTTTGGATTGAGTCCCTTGTGCTCGCAGAAGTCAGAAAGAGTATCCATGATATCACCAAGGCTGTAGCTCCACGAATAACTGAGCATATGAGTTGCTTCTCCCACATGATCCTCGCCGTGCAGGCTGTGGACGTAGGCAGCGCCCATCTTTTTATCCATGGGACAGATGACATCGGCTCCCATTTTTCGGATAACACCGGCAGGGCCCTGTAGATTTTCAATCTCATAAATTTTGGAGGATTTCGAAAGAGCCTTTCCGGATGTAGCATCTTTGGATGCTGATACTAGCTCCAGAAAGTCATGTTGCAAGTTGTATACACTCACTCCCAGAAGATCCAGAGTCATTGCATTTTCCAAATCCTGGCCAGAAGCCTGATTGGGAGGCTGAGAAATCCCCTCGTTTCGCGGAGTTGGTTTCTCGGTCATCCCTGGGCCAACCGAAGGAGGAAAGGGTGGCAATGAATGAGGTCAGGGGAAGGAGAATGGATCAAAGGACAAAGACAAGTTAGATCAAGAGCGCTTGGTTACCCCGATTCTATTCACCATTATCCTGTATTAGTACACAAGTTCAACTAGTACTGGAAACGGAGACGACCCAGGGGGCATATGAATAGTAGCTTTCCAACCACCACTTCCATGCTTCCAAGGGCTGCTTGCTTTGTTGCATGTGTGAAGAATTGTTTGCTTTTAGAAGGAGTTGATGGAGACATGCCCCCAGACGTCCATCGCTGAACCCTGCAGGGGGCGGTGGGCCATCTATGGGTTGTCAGTGATCATGGGCGAACTTGATACCCATTCCCAATCATATACCGGCGCACAGTCGTGCATTGACACCAACGTCGCTTTCTACAGATCCAAAACTCGTCTCAATAATTCGAAGATACAACCGTAACAAAATCAACGAAGAAAGCAAATAGCCGAATATGAAGTGCAGCGAGATTACAGATGATGGCAGTTTGTCCGCCCCCCGTGCCCTTTGGTGTGATGATTACATGTTTGGTCCCAACCAAGCTCTGTCTCTTGCCATGTGCCCCGAAGAGCTGTTGCTAGGCGCCACAGGGCGAGAGCGCATCGAAGAATCCATGCAGGGCGTCACTCGCCCGGTTATTGAGGATATTGATGGGGTGAGTGATTCATCTCGTCGGATAGACAGACACAAGTGGCGGAAGTCTTGCTAACTATTTTATCGCGTGTCCTTTGACAGTTCGGGCAGAAGCCCACCAGAGGACAATGCTACGACATGAATCTATTGATGGTGGCCGCTAGTGAGGGCTCGACCACAATTCTCAAGTGTTGGATCCAAGAATTTGGTATGGATCCCAATGTCAACCGGAATTCTGAACTTTGGAGTCCACTGATACACGCGTTGGCATTCGGAAAGAAAGATAATTTTGATTTTTTGATGAAGGTCTCAGATATTGGTCTGCCAGAGGCCGCGGCGTTGGGCATGGCAGATGTCGTCCCCAATATGATTGCCGACTACAACCAACTCCCAGCCGAAAAGAAATGGTACGGTCTCTCCGGTGAAGAGGTCGCCCTCATTTTCTCTGGCCTCTCCGGCGACGTGGACTGGGTCCTAAGTCTGGCGAAAGCATGTGATGACTTCAATGCAGGCCATAACAAACCGACAGGCAACGTCGTCAAGATGGCCATCTTTAGCGGCAATGTCGACTTGGTGCGCAAGCTTGTCGTGGAGTGTGGGGTGATATTGGACTCGCCCCACAACCTACGAGATCCAGCTTTTTGGGCGTTGACTTGTCTCCCCATGCTCAAGTTTCTGATTGAGGAGCTCAAGACAAGCACCCTGGATGTATTGTCTCCGAGCGGGTGCAGCCTCCTGGAATCTGCCTTGTTGGACCGACAAAACACAGCTGCCGAGTACTTGCTCGAACAGAGGTCTCCCACCGAGTGGTCCTATTTGACCCAGAATAACTTGTTGAGCCAGTCTATTGGGAAGTGGAACTGTCTCAGTGGGCAGCTGCTGCCAATGATTAACAGTGGCAACGTCCAGGAGGTCCTGAGGGTTTCCCTCCGTCATGCCAGGTTGGATATTGTGCAGGTTTGTCTTGAAGAGAAGGGCGGGAGCCTTGACAAGACACCCAAGAAAAACTTCTGCACTTTTTTAGAGGAGGCCGTTTCTTCTGGTTCAGTCCGTACTGTGCAGTATGTGCTGCAGAACGCTTCTGAAGAGTTGATAGAGTATGTCCACAGCAACGGGTACAATGCTCTTGTTGCTGCTTCCAGATTGGGGAGAGAGGTCTTTGAAGCGTTGGCTGCTCGCTTTCCCAACAGGCTTAATGAACTTGTTTGGAGCGGAATGTCGCTGCTGATGATTGCGGCTTGCGACTGCGCTGGAAGTGTAATGGATGCTATTTTGGACGAGGAGTTTTACGAGGCCAAGTGCAGGGACAAAGTGATGGACGCCAACACCAAATGTGACAACGGGAGGACCGCTCTCTGGTGTGCTGTGCGATCTGGGGTGGTCGCTAATGTTGAGAAGATTTTGCAACGAAAGGAATACTTGAAGCTGAAAGAACTTGACGATGCCAAGAGCATCAACACTTTGTTTCGGTTGGCGAGCCGACAAACTACCTTCGCAAGTCTCATTGCATGTTTTCATCACCACGGAATGACTTACACGGGAAACGATGGCGACGACACCGACGCAACAAGCCTGGCGATGACCGCTGCCGAGAGCGGCGCGTTGTTGCAAGTGGAGGATCCAAAAGCCGAGTTGGCGAAGCTTTGTGAATTAGACGAATCTGTGGGGCTTTCAGCCCCAAAGGATCTTCTCATGTGCGAAGTGCTTCGGAGTGCCCCGGAGTGGGCGGTGAACCACGGCACACTTGCCCATCTGATCAAGGAGTGCTTTCTTGATGATGAGGAAATGTGGCGGGATGAGAAAGGTTCCGCCCTGAAGTTCCGAACAGCCTACAATTTGGCTTTGACGCGGTGCGACTATGAGACAGTTGAAAACTTCGAATGGCACCCATTGTTCAGTACAGCAAATTGCCAGAGGACGCCAAGTCAGAAAGCTTTTCTTGCGTTCAATGGCAAGCGCAAGGAAAAAATGGCCCACCCGTCCGTCACGACCAGGCGAAACAACTTTTTGGTGTGGCTTTTCAGAGGCACCAAGCGGGGCGACCCGATGGAGACTGAAAATTGGGGCCTCGAAGACGAAGCAACCCCGTTCGCCATGTTGGAAAGCCTCGTTCTAGCCGAAGTCTTTATCGAACCGGCCGAGGAGTTGACCAGTGACGGGCCCCGAAATGTCGCGCGGCGCTGTAACGATGAACAACTGAAGTCGCTAGTGCAACTGTGCGCAAAGTCTTGCCAACTGGAAAACATGAAGGTTCTCGCCGAGGCTCTCGATGGCCGGGCCGCACTCGAGCTATGCGACTGCAAGGGCAACGGCGGCAACAAAAGCCTGGTTCATGTCGCCCTGGGGAACCAGACGGTGTCGGATCAAGCGGAATCTAATCGGCTGCCTCTGATCCGGTGGCTGGTTGAGTCTGGCGTGGATCTCGCCGGAACCGACAAAGAAGGAGAAAGTGCACTCATGAAGTCCGCCGCCATGGGCAACATTAAGGCCTTCGCATGGATTGCCGATGCGCTCGGGACCGAGGCTTTGCAACACCGGGACAATCACGACAACAATATCCTTAGCTTCGCCATCAAAGGAGGCCGGATTGATATTGTGATGCGCTGTGTGGAAGTCGTTGGTTGCGACGCCTGTGGGTCCCACGGCGAAACTGCCCTGCACTGCGCCGTGGCGTGTGGCAAGTCCTGGATCGCTCGATACCTGGTGGAGGTCGCCAGAGTCGATGTGCACGCTTGTGATGCATCCAACAGGTGCGTGCTGCAAAGTGCATATCCCATCCATTTTGGGTCTTCACTCACCGATCAGCTTTTCCTTTCTCCCAGGTCCGTCATTGATTATCTTCAGTTCCAAGACGACAATGTACTGGAAGAGTATATCGAGGGCAAGACAGGCTCAAAAGCCGCGTCAAGGCCCAAAACAAACATCCAAACGGTGCAAGGGTGGTTGGAGGAAGTCGGCAAGAAGTCAGGAAGCACGCTTCGACTCAACCAATCTGGGCTGTGCGCTCTTGAGTATCAAGGCCACGTCATCGTTATCGAACTACCAAAGGACACAGCCAACCTTTACGTGTATTGTGCCTTCAACGAGGCAGAGTTCGACATAAGAGCTGACTCCCACAAAACTCTTTTCAGGGGCTTTGACGACGGGCTCTACACAAAGTTCTGCCCGTCGATTGACAACAAAAGCAACGATGTTGTGATTTCGGTGCTGGTGCGGGTGGCAGAATCAACGGCGAATGGCTTCATACAGAAGCTAGAAGATTTCATTGATGACGTTGTGTTCGTGGCTGAGCGGCTCAAAGCAGTCGCCGCAAAGCGCTACGTCAGGCAAGCATTGGTCTCGCTGCCTTCCCACGACCCAAGAGCAGATGAAATGCAAGACACCACAAAGATCTTGCAGGGGGTCGAGGAATACATGGTCGAGCCCAAACAAAGGCGCCTTCCACTCAGTGGGCCGGATCTCTCGACTGTCAAGGAATCTCTCCAGTGCCAGCTGGATGAACTTAATCGCATAATCAGAGGCGGTTCATTGAGAGTGAACGAGGCAGGCCAATGCGCCTTCAACTACGAACACCTCACGATTGTTTTGCAACCATCCAAGACGCCGCAGAAACTGCTATGGACAGTTGTGCTTTGGACAGTTAGCTCGGATGGCCCCATAACAGAGGATTTGCGGATGCGAGTGTTGAAGATGAACTACCTCCAAACAGACACGAAAGGTGGCACAATCATCGAGACTGGAACACCGGGAGTCGAGGAGCTGTCTTTCGTCTACGAAGACCGCGTCGACCTCCCCCCAGATGTCTTTCGCAATATGCTCGAGAACATTATCGACAAGTCGCTTGACCTTCACAAGGCTTTGCGAGAGACCGAGTTGGCAGCAAAGGAAAAATCGAGCCTCGAGGGCGAAATCAGGTCGAGGAAGGTCACCTTACTGAACGCCATGCGCCTTGGTGACTACAACATCTTGGATCGGGTCCTGGCTGAGGCCCCAACCCGCGAAGTCTGTGACCGTTTGGAGCAGCTCGCGTTGCTGGTGCTTGACACGGGTTCGATGGACTTCTGGTCCATGTTTTTGGGTTCGATGATGAATCGTGCAGAGTCGACCTCAAGGGTGTCCATGGAAGAGCTCCAAACCACGATCCTAAAGCTCGTCTTGGGAAGGGACATGTTCAGTGAATCTATCCTATCTGATCTCATAGATGGCAAATCGAAGTTCGTTCTGGATCTAGGCTTCATGCATCACATATTCAGCTCGGCAACTTTGATCCGGAAGGGCAGAGCAGCCTCAACAGCACAGAAGGTGTTGGACGAGGCCACCCGAAAGGGCGTTTCTTTTGAGAATGACGAGGTTCACCTCAAGAAGTGGAACAACTACGCCTCCACCGCAATCTACACGGGTGCGGAAATTGGTGAAGGAAAAGAAGTAATCACATGCTTGGAATGGATATTCGAGAGGACCAAACCGGGCGACCTGGACGGAGAAACAGAGGTTCGCACGCTGCTGCACCAGTGCGCATCGTCTGGACAAATTCCGTTGGTGGACTTCATGTTGGGCCGCCTACCACACCTCACGTTGGACGAAGAGTGTTTGGTTTGGGCCTCGAGGCAAGAAAAGTTGCCTCTCGTTCGATGGATCCTGGACCGTGCTGGCGACAGCGTACCGCGAGCAAAGGCGGCGATTGTTTCTGCGGCGGCATCCGGCAGCACGGATATTTTGAGAGCACTGGGGGTGGGGAGTGAGGCAGCGACCCAAGACGAAAGAGAACAAAACGAGGGCAGTGAAACAGCGCCCAAAGGCACCGGGGAGCAATCCAACGAGGATCGGAAGCCGCCGCGCGAGACCCAAACAGCTCTCAACGATGCCGCAAAAAACGCAATAGGACGAGGCAACGCGGAAGTGCTCGCATTCATCCTCGAAGACCCCAGGTTTTTAGGGGCCTATGTGAACCGTCTCTTGGAAGATGCGGTCATGTGCAGCGATCCTACGACGACCGTCGAAACTATCGTTGCTTCGCGGGTCGCTCGATCGCAAGCGTACGCCATGCAGGTCCCTTGGCAAGCTCAGGCCACCGCCAAGAGGAAACTTGTGCTGCCGATCCTTCAGGTCGCAAAAAAGCATCGTCTCCCAGAAGAGATCAGTGCCCTCGTGCATTCCTTTGCTTCGCCCAAGTTCGAGGAATCGCCAATCATCCGATCGACACAAGAACTAAGGGACCAGAATGTCCTCGCCCAGCTCGAACGTGACCTGGGCTTGACCAAAGGCACCATCACCAGCCGCAATGCGAACGACAACCTTGTGTTCGATATGGCGAAGATTGGAATCCTCGAGATGTTCCCAGAGGAACGAACGTTCAACTTGACGAAGTTCTTCGAATTTAAAAAGGGCGAGTTCCAAACAACCGCGGAAGATCTCTTGGAGTTGTCCCGAGCTTTGCCTGGGTGTTTCATCTCCACGACCAACAAACAGCTTGGGATGAGCCTTCGTTGTGTACATCGGTTTCGTGGCGATGGAATCCGTTACCACGAACTGAGGAAGATTGTTGTTTCTTTCCGTCGCTGCTCGAATGCCGTCAGTTCAGTGGTTTCTCATGCGAGGAAATTCAAGTTGCTCGCTTCTGTTTCTAGTCTCGGTGTCTTTGTGCCGGAGATGCTACAGTTCAAAAAGGCTGGACGCCAAACAAGGAAGGTAGCGGCACGCGGCAGAACCTTTTCAGAAACTTGGTTTGCTAACCGTGGGCTTGTTCTGGTCACAACGCCCATGGACCGCCAAGCTGCCGACCGCTACGAGCTCCTCAGCGCAAATGCGTCGGCTGGCGAGGCAAAATCAGACGGGGCATTCTTCTTTATGGACAAGCGTGGTGTCATTCAGGTCGGAGTTTACAGTAGCGACCGGGATGCTGCGAACGACGACAACAGAGCTGCGCTCATAGCAAGGGCGCAGTTCTGACGAGCCGTGAGAAGAGAAGTAGCCCTCATCTGCTTGTTCCGGTGGCGTCGGCAGGACAAGGAGGAGGACGACGACAAGCCACCCCATTCAACACAAGAAGCCCTTTAATAACAACGACTGATTTCCTTTCCAAAATAGCGTAGAGGCTGTATGATTTAGCCACCGTGCCAGATTCGTTTGAACAAATCCCGTCCCCGATGATGAGTTTGGGTTTCCCCGCTGGCAAGTCAGGCTTGATCCGGAGGGAGCCCTCATTGCTTCCAGACTTCTCCAGCAAGATTTTGTCCAGAGCAAGCTTCGAGACTCGGTTGCTCTATGCCATAGACATCCCAAACATAGCGATGATACCGGTATCGTAATGGGTTCGGACTTGTCTGGTCACTCACATGGGGGTGCTCTTGAGCCTGTGAAGCTGCAACGCCAGAAATTCAGTCCTTTTTATACAAAGAATTTATTCATATCAGGTATTCTTGCCCAGAGGCAGAAAGCAAGTCGATGAGGTTCTTACCGATGGCTGCTTGTTGCTAATTGCAAACTAATAAGCTACACTGTGACGCTTTCACGAGCTAAACGAATATTTGTCACCCATTGTGGGTTCCATTCTTTTGATTAGACTCTCTAGCTAGCTGACCGTTCAAAGGCCGCAAAAAGGTGGTATCACCGTGCCCTGTAGCTTGCCAGATGCAGAACGTCAATCAAGATTGCTTGTGCGGACAAGCGTATTTGTGCTGTACATCGTTCTAGCTAGTGCCGGTACGTCGTACGTACTGGTACCGGCACAGTGTGATCGAATTTGAATTGATCGAATGCTGCAATTCGAAACATTAACAAGCATTCGATCAGTGACTCAACCCAGGACTTGAACTTCAACCAAAAAGGATCGGCGGACAAAGCTCGAAGTGGAGGGATCAGAACTTCCTTCCAACGAAGCTTCAACTGCTAGCTAGCTGTAGTACTCTAGCTAGCTGTAGTACTCTAGCTAGTAGGCTCGTAATCCCAGGTACCAGCCATGAAGATATCTAGCTGGCCAGTCCAGTAAAAGTTGCGGGATAATCATCAAAACTGTTCTATCTTAGTGTTAAGCATAGCTATGTGTGCAGTATGGAAGCAGAAACTTGTGTAGTGTACAGAGGGAGCAGGAACCTTCCTTTGGAGATCGTCCGAACTTATCGTCGTCGTGCCTCCACTGGCGCTTTGGCCTCCGGCTGTTTTTGTTGCTGTTGGGGAGCGCCTTGGGCAGGAGGGCCGCCAGCCCCTGGAGGACCACCAGCACCAGGGGGTCCTCCCCTTCCGGGAGGACCGCCCATGAATGGCATGCCTTGTGGGACACTGCCTTCTTTTGGTCGTTCGCTCATGCTGAACAAAAAGTTGTGGACAAAGTCACCGGCCCATTCTCCTCCAAACATTGCCGCAAAGAGTCCAGTAGCTGGATCACGCTCGGCAGAGTACGTGTCGTATGCCTTTTGTCGACCCAACACCTTGGAAGCATCCTTGGGAGCGGGTTCGGTGTTCTTGACCAATTCCAAGTGGGCTTTCACATAAGCCTGAAAGGCCGGTGCCAGATCGTTGTTGACAATGTCTTCGTCATCAAAGCGAGCAAAGAGCATTTCTTGGGAGAAGAACTGAGTCTCATCGTAGAACTTGGAGCTCATGCGTCCCTTGAGCGAGTCGTACTTTTCCTTGATGGGCTTGAGGATGTGCTCAAAGGTGGAAGCATGTTCCTCTTCGTCTTCGTAGAGAGGTTGAAAGTCCACAATGGCCAAGTACTTCTTTCGGTTGAAGGCCAACAGGTCAATTCCAAGAACAGGGAGGTTGTACTTAGGGTCGGGGTACCATACCGAGTTGAACACTTGGGTATTATCTCCAGCATCATAGTAGGTCATGCGAATCTTGCGATATTCAGCCGAAGACGCACAGAGATTCACAATTCGTGCCTTCTTGTCTTTGTTATCCTTGTACCCAAAGTCTGTCTTGCCATCGCTGCAAGAGACAACTCGGAGGTCCTGAAGGTTTTCTTTCATGAAATCCATTTGCCATTCCCAGAAAGGCATGTACAGGAGCTCCGAGTCTTCTACCTTGGGGTCGATGGAGTTCTTCCAGGGCATGCCATGCTGAGCTTGAGCGGTCTCCAAGTCAACCGACAAGCCAAGTGTCTTCTCCAGCTTGATGCGAGAGGCATTATCCAGAGAATCCATCTCGGTGTCCATCGTCAAGGGACCCTTGTTGGAGGGAGAGACCAACGCTGGTCGTCCCACAAAGGCACTGCGAGATACATACGCCTCGGCCATCATCGGCACGACGGCCGCAATCGAAAGAATCTGCACAGTCTTCATGTTGTTGGTTGCTTCGAATGATCTTGCTTCCTGGTCAAAAGAATGAGAATAGACTGTAGTGGCGTCTTTTCCAGAAGATCGATCGAAGAGAAAGTAAGAAGCAGTCGGCTGCACCTTTCGATACAACAACAAAACAAAACAAGAAGGACCTAGAATCCGACTCTTCTTTGGTTGGTGGAATCCAAGGTCCAGCCAAGACAACGTGTGCGGGCCGGTTGAACTTGAATGGCGAGAAAATACGGGTTACTTTGAAGTTGGAGGATCGGCGGATTGGTGGGAATTGACTCACGAGATGTTGCGTGACTTGACAAAGTTCAAGAAGAGGATTTGGCAATCGTGACGAGCTAAACGATGCATTTATTGCTATTGGACCTCACTCAAGAACAAGGAGAAAGTGTGCGCTCACTAGCCGGGAGCTAGCTCGACAAGCAGCACGAAAGATGAATAACTAACTTTTGCCTTGTGCAAGCCCGAAGACATGACATCATGGACTGCACGTACCGATGCAAAATAAGGCACCGTCAAGGGACCGATAACGAGAAACGAGCTCCTCAAGAGGGATGTCCAAAGATGGGTTTCTCGATTGAATATTATCTATGAGCCCGGGGACTCTCCAGACAAATGATTGATGGCTTTCCTTACTCTCTTGAAAGACCTGAGGCTCTGGAGTTGCGGGCAGACCGCCTCCAAGCTAGTAATTGTCGTTTTTATTTTGCAGACAGAGCAAGCTGGAGATCGCTTTATTTGATTTCATAGAGAACCTTTCCAGTGCTCTTTCCAGCTTCGAGGTAGATATGACCCTCTGCCGCCTCATCCAATGGGAAGACTGTATCAACACTGACCTTGAGCTTTCCATCCATAAGCCACCCAAAGATTTCACCTGAACGCCAAACAAGTTCTTCGCGGTCCACAACGTAATCCAAAAGCTTGGGACGAGTCACGTAGGCAGATTTTCCAATCAGTCGAAGAACAGGGAATGCAGGGACAGCACCAGAGGCATTTCCAAAGGAAACAAAGATACCCCGGCGTGCCAAGGATTCAATAGAAATGTCCATGGTATTTTTGCCAATACCATCAATGACGCATTTCACACCCTCTCCTCCAGTAATTTCCTTAACCTTCCCAACTACATCCACGGATTCATAGTCTTCAAAGGCAGCACCCTCGGCTTCGTCCAAGACAATCAGCTCGTCACATCCGAGTGCTTCTGCAATAGATTGCTTTCCTTTGACAACAGTTCCAATTACCTTGTATCCACGGAGTTTGGCCATTTGAGCCGCCCACTGGCAAGTACCACCACCAACACCATGAATCAAACACCATTCACCGGGTTGAATCAAATCAGCATGAGCCGAAGTCGTCAAGTAGTGGGCTGTAAGTCCTTGCACAACACATGATGTGGCCACTTCCAGGCTCACATCATCTGGAACAGGCAACAATTTGGCAGCAGGAACGGCTGTATATTCACCATAAGTTCCCAAAACCGAGTAGGCAACACGGTCTCCTAGTTTGATTCCCTGGGCGGCTGCTTCGTCGGACACGGCTGCAACGGTGCCGCCACCTTCCTGTCCACCGACAAAGGGAAGTTCTCGGGGGTAAAGACCCTTTCTGTGGTATGTATCGATAAAGTTAATTCCCGCAAATTGGTTCTTTACAATCACGCCACCTGGCTTCATTTCTGGAACAGGGAAATCATTCTCAATTTTCAGAACACTGGCATCTCCAGTCTCACGGATCACGGCAGCCTTGTGAAACGCAAGTAGAAAAAACTATTAGTCATTGGATTGGATCATGCATCGCAATGCGCAGCCTCCAGGCTGATTGATAATGATGAAGAAACACCAAGCCAAGCCAGGTACATGTATCTGCCAACTCAACACTTGGGTAGCCAGAGAAACAGCAAAAGGTATCCCGCGCTGTACCTCTGCTGCCCACCCCTTTGGCAAGCTCGTTCATTATCTGCCTGATCGAATAATACGTCAGATCTTACCTTCATGACATCGGGCACCGTGGACATGCTTCGGTAGCGGCATGCTGCAGCCAAGAAGCGGCGGGAAGCGGTTTGGGCTTGGAAGGCAAACATTGCTCTTCTTTTCTGTTTCTAACTAATGTATGGCTGCTCGCAAGTGAGATGAAGGAAACAAAGCTCGGCAACTTTGCGCTTGCTGATGGGAGTTTCTGCAGTTCCAACAGCTTCCTCTGGAGTGGTCAGTGTGAACACAAAGGTGCGTGCTACAGTGATGGGAGTGTCGAAAGAAATGCGATGATGTCACACTCAGTCCCAAGATACCATTGACCAACATAATAATAGTATTCAGTCAGTGATCTGTAATTTATGCACGACTGAAGTCCATGCTTACTGACCACGGCAGACGGCAGGGTTGACCTAGCTTATGGCTCTGCAGGCTTGAATTAGAGCCAAGGCTACATTCAACGTACGTACGTGATCATTGGACCCAACTCCCGAGGCCCATCAATCCATGCCCAATCAAAAGCAAAAGCATTCATTGCCATCAAACATCAAAGATTCTCGAAAGATCTCTGCCTGTTTGTCTGCCACTCTGTCTCTCCTGGACATCTGCTGGTGGAGCTTGATAGAAGACGGTGAGAACTCTGGCGAGGATCAAGCCGAAGCCATCACAAATCACAAGACAAAGCCATCATTTTCGGTTCCGTATCTTTAGACCACTACTTCTCTTCTCTATTATACCAACACAAGACGACAATGAAGTTCTCTGCTGTTGCTCTGGCCCTATGTGTGGGCCTTGCCGTCCCAGTGTCCGCCTTGAGCGGTCCCAAGACAAGTTGGGCTCCTACAAAAAGCCAAATTGGCCAGAAATCTGCTGGAGGTAGTGGATTCGGGTCTTATTTGGATAATGTAGCTGGTACAGAACCAGCAGCACCAACTCAGTCGGCTCCTCCTGCCGCCGCTGCTGCTGCGCCTGCTTCTGGCTCTGGTCCCAAGACAAGTTGGGCCCCAACAAAGAGCCAAATCGGTCAGAAATCTGCTGGAGGTAGTGGATTCGGTTCTTATTTGGATAATGTAGCTGGTGCAGCACCAGCAGCACCCTCTCAGTCTGCTTCTCCTGCCGCAGCGGCTGCTGCGCCTGCTTCTGGCTCTGGTCCCAAGACCAGCTGGGCTCCTACAAAAAGCCAAATCGGCCAGAAACCTGCTGCAGCGGATTCGGGTCTTATTTGGATAATGTTGCTGGTGCAGAACCAGGAGCACCAACTCAGTCGGCTCCTCCTGCCGGAGCAGCTGCTGCACCTGCTTCTGGCTCTGGTCCCAAGACAAGTTGGGCTCCTACAAAAAGCCAAATTGGTCAGAAACCTGCTGCAGGCAGTGGATTCGGGTCTTATTTGGATAATGTAGCTGGCGCGGCACCAGCAGCACCTTCTCAGTCTGCTTCTCCTGCTGCGGCAGCTGCACCACCTGCTTCTGGTTCTGGCCCCAAGACAAGTTGGGCTCCTACAAAAAGCCAAATTGGTCAGAAATCTGCTGGAGGCAGTGGATTCGGGTCTTATTTGGATAATGTTGCAGGAGGTGCACCTGCCACATCTGCTGAGCCTGAAGCCCCAGCAGCTACCGCTCCCCCCACTGCGGCTTCATATCTGGACCAGGTGGGAGGAGGCGGTGCTGCATTCACATCTGGCCCCAAGAAAAGCTTTGCTCCCACCAATGCTAGCTGGAAGCAGTAGATTGATACTTTCCGGTAAATTGTGTAAATAGACCCGCATCTTATGAGTGATTTTGGGGATGCCTGTTTGGGTACAGTATGGAATGATCAATTGAATCATCGTCTTTGCCGGAAAAAGAAAATTATTAATAAAATAATAATATATGGTTTCAGTGGATTGTGGTAGTACCGGTAGCTAGCTAGGAAAGCTGTGTCAATCAAACCGAGAACAAATAATGTTGGCAACTTCGAGCCATAAATTGGCAAGCAGCAAGCGAGTTGACACATCTGGCTCTCATGGAAGTGGGTGCGCAATCAAAAGCGGAGCTCGAAGTTTTGCACCGAACTCTTCCGTTGAAATGAGAAACTGTAGACTCTCCACGCAAAAAGACTTTCATGTTTCATGTTACATCTATTGCATTACGTCAGACATTTGGAGCACATGGTACATGTACTAAAACAGACCCAGTACATTGCCTGCCAACGAGCCATTTCTGGGAAGAGGTTCCAGCAAGAAAGTCTCCTGGCAACGAGAAGAAAATTTGTGTCACAGTCATTGGTAGAGGCTTGCTTCTCCAACGTCCGGTGTAGCGCACGTCCACGCAAACATTGTATACCGGTACCGTCGGAGTTGAGTGCAGATCGTAAGTGCTGAAATGCCGAGGGAGAAGAAATGCCACAATTCTCACGTTCCCACCACATCAGACCCTTGAGTGTAAAGCAGCGAAACCAACGACTACTTTACGACCCCAAACAAGGATTCAATGGCGAAGCGGGTCCATCTTGTAAGGACTGATGACCTCCATCCACTCTGGCCTTTTCCCATGGCCGTTAAGGTTGATTCCTTGGGAAGCCCAAATGAAGGGAAGCGTCAAGGGGAGTTGAGGAAGACTAATAGCGGACAGAAACGAGCTTGGACGCAGCCACCAGAACCAGTTCGAGGTATCAGCCTTATGTCAACAGAGTCTTCATCCTCTTCCGCAAAGAGACGGCGGTAAGCCAGCTGTCATCAACGCTCAAGGCTCAGGGAAACCAAAATTGTTTGAGCTTCATCGAGCCGTTGATCGAGCTTGGCGTATACCATTCCAAGTTTTTGGTGGCCTGCCAAGCATTACTGTTGATCTCAGAAACGGTGCGGATTGTACTGGAGGGCTTTCAAACAACAATCGTTTCATGATGGATAGAATCCATGGCTAGCTAGTTTCGCATGTGAGGCATAACAAGGATAAGGCATTTGCATGTAATGTTGTGTGCACCAACTTGTTGTCTAGTAGCTAGTTCGTAGAGCTGAACAACCCGTCGCACAAGCAAGCTGGGAGCTTGCCCTGGCTTCTAAAGACAATCGCATTCTTCCTTTGCCGCTTGGTTGAAGTACAGTATAATCGTGGCTCGCCGTTGCTTTTGTCCAGTTGGGCGAATGAGTGCAATAAGCAACACCTTCTGGCACCAACATCCTCGTCGTTGCTTTCACTTCAGGCGCAATGATCACCTCCACAGTTGGCAAGGAGCTGATTTCGGATTGTTTGGCGCACGGTCTCTTCCCACCTAGTAGCTAGCAACTTACTTATACGTCCTCCGAATTGCCGCACGTGAAAATAATGACAGTATGGAGGAACCTCTACATGTTGGGCTTGAACCACGACACGTGTGCGACACAACTAACTTTTCGGCACCAAAAGGAGAGCGGTCTGCATTGGATACTATGATCCGTCAATTCAAAGCGTACCTTGATTTTGCTCTCAGCTTTGTATTGGGAATGGCGTGCGCAGACCGGATATTCCAAATATAGACCAGGAGACCGCTTGATCGTCCGATTCCAATCGATACCACAGAATACATCCGTCTCCTTCCTTAACAGCACTCAGCATCACTTCTATCTAGCTAGCTAGAACGGTCCAAGCTTCAGCGGGCACAGGCAACGGTACCGGTACAGTAGCTCTGGAAAGCTGAAGCGAGCGCCTATGCATAATGTATTGATTAGCTCCGCTGGGTTAACAATTTCGACTGAAACATGACGTCATATTATTGACTCGCCAAAGGCTTTGTTTTTCTCAGGACTGTCACTCTCACAAGTACTAGCTAGTGTACCATAATATCAAATCTAACTTCTGCTGCGACGCGGCTCCTCGATCCAAAACCACTATCGTACTCACCACCAAACAATTCGAAGACGTGCCATGGCATCAACGATCAAGGAATGGAAAGACAGTAAGAGCATCTTGTATAGAGTTGGATTGTTGCTCCTTCTTGCACATGATACGTTTGTACCTAACTAACACTCTGTCTCATTTTTCATCTTTTCGTTTTCTACAGAGGTCGTCTTTGTGCTGACGGCCGATGGTAGAATCATAGTTGGGCAACTGGTGGGTCATGATCAAGTTCAGAATCTCATTATGAATGACGCTCATGAGCGAGTGTACAGCGCGGACGAAGGAGTGGAAAAGGTGCCATTGGGATTGTACGTGATTCGGGGCGACAATCTATGTCTCATTGGGGAGTACGACGAATCTAAGTTCTCCGATGATCAAACAGCGCCAGCACCAATACCACCCATTCAGCAACAAATCTTTTGAGATGGTGTGGGGGGTGTTTCTTTGGAAATTTATTTATTGGAATGCATTGGAGGGGGTATGATGACCCAACAAAATGGACTTTCTTGCCAAGAACCAAAAGAGGTTTCCATGCCCGAACCTGATCTGGCTACATACATTTTATTATTGGGGCCCTGAAATCGATTCACGGCGACAAGACACGGCAATTTGCAAATCTTACAATCTCCTCCAAATCCATGAAAAGTTGGTTGCTTCGATGCAATCCGCACAAAATCTTTATTAAGCTACCTTTACCTTTGGTCACATCGTTGGTGAGTTGCCTGTGAATCACATCCTCCGATTCTTTGACGAGGCTGATGATAAAACACAAATTAATAACAGGGAGTATCGAGAAATAATTGGAACCAAATTGCGCAGTTTTTGTGTAATCTTCACCTCTTGGCCACGACGCATTGGTCCATATTTTAGTTTGCTAGTCATCTATCTAAGCATTCATCAGATTCTGGGTGGCAGCAGTCACGAAGGTCCAAGTGGAGGCTGCCTCGTGTTTTTCTCTGCTATCATAAGGGTCAAATCAACAGCTATGGTAGGAATTATGTGTCTAACCAAGAGACTACATGTAAGAGTTGCAACATAAAAAAAAACGAGTGGTTGTTCATTCTGGCTCTCTTCTAAAGCTGATGCTAGCTAGCTAGGTAACACCAGCTGAATCAGTCACAGCATATAAAGTTGTCTCGGTCCTTGTCTCTGGTCAAACTAATCATCAGGTCCAACTGCTACGGGTACTGTAAGCCTCGGAACTACTAGTAACTAAATCCATTTGATGACCAGGAAGACCAAAAAGATAATGAGCACCACCTGAGCCCATACCGGCAACGATTGGAAGAGGCTGTAGACATCCATGACAAATGTTTTGAAGTAAACTGTCATGCTGTAATCTCCACCTCCTCCTCCTTGTTGTTGGTTGTGGTTCCCAAGCAGTGCTTCCGAAGAAACACCGTTTTGTGGTGCAAAGGCGCTTCCAAATCCAATAGTAGACATCATGGAAGAGGAACCCAGTTCACTCATGTCATTGGTAGATGTCATGGCCGAATTCATCATATTATTGTTGGTGGTGTTGTTGGCGGTTATGTGGTCTCGATAGGTAGGAATCGAAATTTGAGAGGGAGCCATGGGACCCGGTCCCACAATCATTTGTCCTTGTTCGGCAGGAGCGGCACCATCATCGCGGCTTCGTTGTGCTCGAATGCGGTCCAGCAGAGAACCTTGGAGTCTACTTCGACCCTGACTCGATGTCTGCGACATGGAATCTCCAGCGTCCGCGCCGCTCGTCAGTGGTTGATTCATAATATTGTTGTTGTTGTCCATGGTTCGTTTTCTATCAAAAAATGTTCGCACTCCTTGTTATGATCTCCCTCTCGCTCTGCTGCGATCTGACAGGGATTCGTTTCTGATACCGTAAAAGAATCTGGTAGATGGTGGTACTACTTGTGGGCTAACAGAGCGGGATACGGTGGTCCTTTCATTCTGGTTGCTCTCTTTGCTTTTTGCTTCTTGTCTTTTATCTTTTGGTCGCTCAAGATCAGGTCGTGAACTTTAGTCGAAGAAGTCGATTCGTGTGGCATTTCCACACCGTGGGCCGTGGTTTGAGCTTTCGGGCGCTAGGAATGATGCCCTTTTGTTTTGGAGCGGTGCAAGGGAAAGTCGATGAAACCCTAGCTAGCTAACTAGACTTTACTTTCTCTTGCCATGTCAGGGAGAAATTTCAGGCTCCTCTTGTACCGGTACTGGTGCCCGTACCGGTACTCTGAGGGGGGTTGCTGGAATACCGGTACGGTACTTGTGGTGATCAAAGCTTGACAGAAACAAGAACCCGGTACCTTGCTCTTTCTGTGACGACGAACTACATGTATAGACGTTGTTCGCTGCTGATGCTACTAGCATTTGTTTGCCATGTCATACTACCACATGCAAGCTACCTCAAGAACTAGCCTGGCTAGTCACATACGGTCATGCTTGTGATGATGAGTAACCCTGCTTGAGATATAAAATGTGTCTTTACAGCATTGCTACCCTTGTAGCCATACCGGTAGGCAGATAATACTCCTCCCAATTTTACAGGTTCGAGTATGCACGCCCCTGTTCCTGTGGAAATTTCTGCCCACGACCGGCTCTAAGCGTGGCATCTCAAGCAATTGCCTAATGATTTTGAATTGCTGCGTTGAAGCCGAATAGGCTCGATGTATCGCGGGCATTGGGGCCACTCGTTGTAGCCGATGTGTGCTGTCTCGATGCCACGGTAACGGTGGTTCTTTTGAAAGCTGACAAGACCACTATTGCATTTGGCTTGCCAGTCACCAGACCAACAACACGTCTTCATTCAATTTTCCGGGAGACAATATTCAAATCCGACGATTTTCGAGCGGTGGTGCCACATCAGATAGATCTTCAACAAAAGGTCTCAAGAAGTTACCTCGGCGGAGTGTAATGTCGATAATCCTGCTTCCAACGACGCATTTTCATCGTCACTCGGGCAGAAGAAAGATGCAGCACTTTCTTGTCGATTATTGTCAATATTCCTGGTTGTTTCACGTTGAACTGTTGTTTCGTGAACTGTCCCTATCGCCACGGGCTGATCCTCCATCGTTCCATGGGTGTCATTGGCATCCCTCATTGAAGCCGCTGGCTCTTCCTGTATACCGTTACGTGTACTAGCTGCCTGTTGCGTCTTGGAGGTTGGTCGACTGCTCCGGGAATGCCGTCCATCTCCATCCCCACCGAAGCAACAGCAACAACAGCATCTTTGAAAGATCCAATGAATCAGTCTACCGTACCGGGTTTCAAAACTGGACTTTTTCCTCATGAATATGAGCAAGTAGTACAATCCATAGAGGTTTCGGGAAGCGGCTGTCACAACCAAGAACCAAGTTGGTGAATAGTAATTGGCAATGAATGTCGGTACATTGGCCAGGACAATGGTACTGGAGTAGAGCATTCCTTGTAACGCCACGGCCTGGGATCGTCGTCGATCGGGACCACTGGTAGAGGTGGATTCTCTGCCCAAATTAGTGTGGTTCGTGGTAGATTGTTGGCCAGAGTCCGTCGTCGATGCTCCAAAAGAATATCGGTGATTCCGGTTTTCCAATTCTCTCACATGCCAAAATAGGGTCAGCATGGAGCCAATCGAGACGGCAATCGCCAAGATCAATATGGCTGTGTTGAGTATGTGAAATACCTGTTCCACAAGAGGACTGCCTCGTTCACATTCGTAATCATCATCGTATCCGCACTGAGAGGGATACGCTGCAATCCAGCACAAGTCGTAATAGGGATTGTACAACTCGAAGAAGAGTGGCGCCACGCACAAGGCAATGGCGACAGGCCAAATCACGCCGTGAAAGACTCGCATAAGGCTCGTGGAGAGTCTTCGTTCCGTCCAGTTGTACTTGACAATAAAGAGAAATATTATGGACAAGGCCACATCCCACATAACTGCCAAGGTCCCACCCAGTTGCAGGAAGAACCCTTGCAACGAGCACGTGGCAGTAGTCCCTCGGGCTCCATAGAAATCGTGATCCGAAAGAGGAGTTGTTCCAAAAATACTGGCAATGCCAGAAATGATCAATGCACAGGACAGACTGAACAGGATCTGATGCAAGCACACTCGGAAACGCCGTGTCTCTAGCAAGATACAAAGAGCCGACAGAATGCTGATGCCGCTGGCAATGCGGGTGATTACAAAACTGGACACTTCGCCCGGACCAAAGTAATAGTAATCGTCGTCATAATACTGGCTATCATTATCCGTGGAGTTCATCGAGTGGCGCTGCCGTTTGTGTTGTTTGCCATGAACTAGCTAGCTGTAGCTATTATAGGTAGCCAGCGAATACCGGTAGCATCAGTTGTGATGCCTCCAATGGTGTCATGGAAGAGGGGACCTAGTTTGGAAGAAGAGCCAGTCTTGTTGTGGCCTTCGCCTCCAGCTTCTTTGAAAAAGCCAGCGAGTGGGAAGGATACCGGTCGGGTGGATGGGTTGAGGTGTCCTCAAGCACTCACTTCTCGTCTGAACCCTTGAGTTTTTTGGCAGTGGCAAGATGTACTGGAGTGGCACAAGGGAGGAAGGAATAATTGCAGCGGTCCCGTAGGTCACCGCAACGACTAGGTGCAGAGATGGGGTCTCTGAATACACGACACGAGGTGCAACTAGGTTCTTTGATTTGATTGTCGAAAGAGGACAGCAACAGTGCAAATGGCTGGAGATATGGCTGGAGGAGAGAGCTCAAAATGGCCCATTCAACTAGAACTTGACATCTGGTATGCCTCCTTTTCCAGCCAAGTTTGGGCAGTCCAATGCTGCTGTAGACTTGCTTGTTTCTTTACCGCAACTGAATGTCCTTTCAGTGCTCCCTTTCCACCGCCACCACTGACGCTTTCCGAGATGAGGTGTCTGGCATTTTGATTGATTTCGTTCCCCGGTCTTGTGCTGTGATGATTCAAGCTGCAAAACCTGCTCTTCTGGCAGCAATTCTGGGTCTGACAGATCTTGCTGCATTGATAGTAACAAGCTGCACTACATATTTGATGAAAGCAGTGGTGGCTGTAATTAGTCTGGATGCAAGTTTCTCTGTCTAGCTAGCAATGGGTTGGGGTACCGTATACCCAGTCATAGGAACTAAGATTGTCATTTTCGTCGTTCTATGATGCAATGCTGTTCAGATAGTCTAGTGGAGATGTGGGAACTGTGATCCTACTCTCAATGAAGCTTCCTCTGACTGTGTCCACAATGGATATGTTCTTCCAGTTCTCAAACCCCAACATCCCTTACACCTGCATCACCTACACCTGCATCTTCCACCGCTCTGTCCATCGTGCAATGCTGGTTCATTGTACCGTGATGAGAGTACCGCTACCTACTGTACCGTACCAGGTACGGACAGACAGGTGTGCTCAAGGGAAAAAATACGAGGTCTTTGAAGTTTCCTGATCGTTCCGGAAATATCCGTTGGATGCACTTGGGAAGCAATGCAAGGTGGAACGCTAGGGTAACGGTGGCATCACGTGACGATCGCAGATCGTCTCTTTGGCACCTCTGACGGAAGCTCACACTTCTCAACTCCGACCGCATCGAATCAATCCCATGAACAGGTTGTATCGAAACCATCACAAGTTTTCAACGCTCCCCAATTATCTTTCCTTCGACCATGCCCGACCAAATGCCTCCAAATACTGGTCTTAACGACTCCGTCAGCAACATGACACAGACGACGAATCAAGGGATGGGAGCCGTGGGAGATTGTGCCGCCGACATTGAGATCTATATGGGAGAACAGTCCAGTTCAATGGCTACGGAAAATACCATGCAACAAGCACCCAAGCAGCAGAGCTCCACTGACGGGAAGAATGGGAATCCCAAAACCCAGGGGTCCAACTAATACGGAAATTCGGCCAATTCGGGGCATTGGAGCTGCGGGATGATACCGGTATAGTCCGACCGTACTAGTCGTCCTTGTGTGTGATCAACTTCCATTCCTACAACGCCGTCAGCATAAATTGCTAAGATACTAATGTCAACGAGTATACCCACTTTTGTTCGTCTCGACGATGGCTGTCAACTACGGTAGCCACTCGCGAGCCCGCGATAAACGTATTTGGCGCTGGTAGGCTGCTGGGTGGAAGCACAAGAGAAAATGGCCTCTGCCACTGCTCATGAGATTCATTATCATCAGTCGTGTGTGAGACCACCAGAGACCCCGGCTTTGTCGCACTTCAAGAGACCCGCCTGTTGGTTCTTGCACGACTTTGATGGTGTACGGTTGAGCCAGACAGCAATGATCGCGAATGTGCAGACGATACAGCCGGAAACCAAAGACGTCCAGGAGAAACGAAAGTTGCTTGAAATTGATTTTTTAATGTGGGAAGAGTCGGGACAGCCACTGTCCCGTGCCTAACACCGTGGGAGCTAGTCAAAACCATGTCCAAGAATCCCAAGAGCCATTCTCTGGCCCTTTCCTACACTTCTCAGTGCCCACCACAAACAGCATTGTAGCATCTGTCTTATTCCATGGGTAACCATGCTCACGAGCTCACCATGTTCATGAGGTCACTTCAAGACGTCCAGATGTCCAAATGAGCTCCGCCAAAGCGCCTGCTTAGATCCCAAGGGCGGGCATTCTCTCTGGCCCATGTCAAGGCATCTAATCATCCCCGTCCGCTGCCACATTGCAGGTGCCTGCGTTCAACCAGTATGGGCCCCTAGGCTCTTGATCCCCATTCAAGACCTCCAAATAATGCCCTCCCCAAGCAGCAACTGGACAGGTTCCTTTGTTTCCTTCGCACCCAAATCTCTTGCCCATTTCAGTATGTCCCAGTGTCCATTTGATGCAGCAAATGACATGCTTGAGAGATGTGTTCTCCCTTGCCATCATTTCACAACCTCGAAATGAATCTGTAGACCAGCTCTACCGTTGGAAAACTTCAAGACAGCTAAATTCCGCCCCTCGGCTGAAGCAACAGACAATCTTTGTCTGCCGCCATGTGCGGCCAAACAGTGCAACCCTTCTTTACTGGCATATTGAAGAAACGTCTTGATGGCATCCGTCCCCTTCTTCTTCTTCTTGGCGTGGCATTTATTTGCATCTTGATCATGTATCATGTTCCCAATTTTGGTGTCAATACTTGCATCAATTCTTGGGTACGTAGAGCCATGATGGCTTTGGCCCTGGAGAAGAACTGATCGGATATATTTATTCAGCAAAGTATTGAGAGTAACATGTAGCTAATCTGCTCATTTCAGTTTGCACAGCTATCATCATGGCAAGCCCAGTTTACATGAATGAGGGGCTTGGGAGGACATGTGCAGCGTGTCGGGTACTGTCTCTTTGCTAGCTCGTACTGTCTCGTGCTGACGCAAAAATTAATCAATTGACTTGATTTCTAGCCAGAGGAGAGCTGAAGCTACGATAGCACAAAGTACTACGAATCATACACAGAAACATGCACAAATTAATTTAAAGGTAGAAATTGACTACCTTCCATTCCGCCAAAAGACCTCTTGTCTTCTCTTGGCTTATTTGAATTCGTACTTGGGGTAAACAACGTTTGGATGATCTGCGTTGTATTGATTGGTGGGCAACCCCATTCGGCGTCGAATGGGAGGGACAATAAAGGGGAGGGCAAAGGCCGCCGTCGCCCACGCCATGGAGAGCGCTGCGACAGGTTGTCGGTGGATAAAGGACCTCAAGTATCCCCTGGGCATACTAAAGTGAACTGCCGAGTAACATCCTGATGCTGTCAGGAGAAATCCAAGCTCGTGACCGTCCCAAAGAGGCATAGTGGAAACTGATGTGATGAGATCTTAGTGATCAGAGTCTGTCGGATGAAACGAAAGGAAAGAAAGCCAGGTTAGGTCAGTGCGAATACTAGCAGTACAGCCATCAGGAAGCACCCACAATACTCGCTATGGTCAACAATAACTTACCCTGTTGTTACTTGCAGTTCGACCTGCGGCACCGTCGAGAGATAATGGCTGCGTTGCGCTGCTACGGCTGTGACGATTGGAGCGCATCATGGTCGGCATCTTGTGCATTCAGGCGCACATTTCCTCATACACACATGCGGGGGAGTACCTCTGAGGAGACCGCGTCCTTTGGTAGCTCACTTGACCATTCGTTCAACCACTATCCGCCACCGGACCAGGGACCGGTATCCGTCACTCATCACTCATCCGATGGTTCGGCACGACTTTGGACAATTCAAGACAAAATTTGCTTCAACTTCAATGCCTTCCCATTGAGACCATCACAAGCTTGGCCACGAGATCGGATGATTTAAATAGCCGTATTGAAGAGCTATTGCAGTTGTATTGCTTGGCGACCGCAGAAACTCTGCGTCACGTTTCATTTAATGCTTATTAAAAAGATCTTGAAGATGCTTAAAAAAAGGTTTGAGAGGGAGCCAGACAAATAAATAAATTAAATTTTCAGTAACCACGGTCGACTAGCTTCAAGCCCCATCCCTTATCAATTATTGCTGGAACGCTGGAACCTCTCTACTAAGTACTTCAAGCCATACTACAGCGTATTAATGGTACCAGGAGTGTACCAGGAAGGCCTTGACATACTGTAGAGCCTATTCTGGAATCTTGTAGATGAATTAATAAATTGACACCTTGCTAAGCATTTAATTATATTTGGATTTGAAGTTTCTGAAAACTCTTCTCCCTTTTCAACTTCAACCCCTTGAAACCCGAACTGGGTCGCCTTTCGTAACAAAACAATACGCTGGAACGCGCACCACATCAGCCAGTTCAATAGCCAGCATCGGCAGCTATCCGTGGCTAGCGGTAGCTCCCATACGGTGAGCTCGGTGAGTTGGACCAACAAAGAGAACACTACTGAGTACTTCAAGGGTAACAATTGCTGATAGTGTACTAGCTAGTAGCTAGCTAGACTAGCTAGTTTGAGGACCGCAAATTGCTTTTGCTTCAAGTAAGTACGGTACAGTACTGTAGCTAGCTAGTGTGTTGCAGCAAGTTCACTGTATTCTGCTTCCAGGTGCTTCCCCATTGCCTCAATCCGACCCTTCAATCACACTCTATCCCCAACATCCCCTTTCCATTGGAGCAACAGTTAGTTTAACTCAAGCTGGAGCCGCCGCTCTCATACAGCCCGTGCCCTGGTCGCCTTAGCGGTAACGACAACAACCTCTCACAGAAAATTTAAAACAATTCATCGTCTTCCTTTGCCATGATCGAAACGGACTTTTGGCCGGTGGCAGGCAGTCGACACAACGCAACATCGTGTCTCCGCCGCTCCATCAATGACTATTGCAACAACCAAGATGTGGAAGCGGCGTTGCGAGAGAGTCTGCGCCGTTCCAAGTTACCAAAAGCGCGGTCACTGCGGGATGTCTTTTGGCGTATGCCTGCCATCAACTCGGGGCCGCATCATCACCAGGATGCCATTGACGAAGAGATACGTCGTCTAGAATCACTCAAGTCCTTTCAAATCCTGGAAGGCTATTCCGCCACCCCAAGTCACCAGCACAACAACATAAGCCTCGCCTGTCCCAGCAGCAGTCCGCAAGTGGCATCCGATGCTTCCACTCCCAAAGCGGGCAACGAGGCCGCTGTGAACGACGACGACCTGGGTTCCACCGTGTCCACCTTGAACCGGTTGGTCAGCCTGGCCACCAGCATGTTTGACGTGCCCATTGCGCTGGTTTCCCTCACCGACTTGGGCCAACAAAACATTCTAGCTGCGCAAGGTCTTGGTTGTGAAGTCGCGGAACTGCCACTGGGACTGCCGCGACAAAAGTCGAGTCCCTGTGCGCATGCCGTTCTGAGCAAAGACGACCAAATACTGGTCGTTCCAGATATCAAGGAGGATGCCCGATTTGACTTGCAGGACTTCGACGACGACAACGAAGAAGAAGAAACCAGAATCCCAGAGACCCTCCGCAACCAACGATTCTACGCAGGGGCACCACTCCTCTCGCCGGAGGGGGAGAACATTGGGGTTTTCTGCATTTTGGATACAAGGCCTCGGAACGAGGGACTCGATGACAGACAGGAGGAAGATCTCCGCCACCTGGCAGGCTTGGCCATGAACGCACTGGTGGAACGACGCACCCGCTCAACGTTACGACATGATCTGCAGGAGGCAAATAGAGCGGCTTCGGCCACGATACACGACTTGCTCACGCCCTTGACAGCGGTAGAGTTGGCAGTTTCATTGCTGCGTGAAGATCAAGATTTCCAAAACAAACTCTCGCATCGGCAGAAAGAGTCCGTCAAGATCGCTTCCAACTGCGTTGGTGTTCTCGCAAAGATGTGCCGGAGGATGAGAGATCAGCATAGCAACAGCTTCAAGCAGCAACAGGCCCACTGCTGCTCGAGTGCCAGTCACGATAGCTTTCAACCGCCGCAAGAAGTTCCACACGACAGCGGATGTGTGCAGTTGGCCAATGCCGACTTGGGACTCACGGCGGACTCGTTCCGAATCATGTACGGATCCGGGTACCTCAATGGTGTGGAAGATCCAGACAAAGCCGACGCAGCAACGCCAACACTCCCGTTGTCCACTGTGGTCGTCAAGGACTTGGCAAAGAGTATCCACATGTCGGTTGATGCAGTCCACAATACCATCCCAGTGAAGATTGAATTGCACGGCTCGGTTCCCTCCAAGATTCTCACCGATGATGTCAAGGTCCTGCGATGTGCCATGAACTTGCTGCGGCATTGTTCGTCTTTAGCCAACGATCCATCAGGTTCCATTCGGTTCAGTATTAGACCCCAACACTGCCGATGTGGCAAATCAATGTTGCTCTTCTATTGTTGTCAAGAACAACCAGACGTTGGTACAGAAGGTGCCAATGTCGACAGTCCGCGCACTTGCGAGTGCTGCACAGAGCAAGTTACCTCAGAAGAAACAAAACTGGATTCAAGTAATGATTGCTGTCATCGACGGTGCGCCATGGAGCGACAGGGCTTTAAACGTTGCTCCGAGGTCGATTTGTATTCCATTGCAATGCAAGTCGAGTCTTTGGGCGGGGACTGTGGCATCGATGATCAAGGGGCACACATGAAGACCAATGATAGCAGTGACTCCAGCGCGCTAGCAAAGAAGGGCTATTGGTTCCGCATTCCTCTGGCCGAGCCCGAAAGCACGGAACATATCGAACTGGAAGCCACCAACGCATCGCAATCAAGTACATGTAGTAGTGATAACACTGTCGAGCAACCGGCTCAGCTGTGCGAGAAACCCCAAGCCTCTACCAGTGAATCTACGGGTACTGCGCTAGTCTTGGAAGCACAGCCTCGAAAACGCCGGGCTCTCATCATCGAAGACTCCATCGTGATTCGAAAAGTTATTGCAAATGCTCTCTCCAAGATTGGCTTTGAGACAGAGACTGCGGTCAATGGCATGGAAGGTCTCCACCAGATGCAGAACTCCATGTACGATGTTGTTCTCTGCGATCTCCTTATGCCAGTGATGGACGGTTTGGACTGTGTGAAACAGTTCAGACAATGGGAGAAGATTCATCGACCACTCCTGAAGCAGTACATCATAGGAATGAGCGCCCATGCAAGTGAACAAGACGTAAAACGCGTTCTACAGGGAGGCATGGATTGCTACAAAGACAAGCCCTTGACTTACAAGGGTCTCAAGAGTCTCGTCGGTGCATGTGGACAGAACCAGCAACAGCAGCAAAACCTTGGCTCGAATGCGATGAATGCGCAGGATCAGAATGAACCCAAGATCCTGAACGGTGACAAAGTGTCAGTCGACGGTAGCAAGGCACCGGAATACCCTAGACTTCAACAGAAGATGTGCCTGATCGCTGCCAAGAATGCGGATGCTTCTCACGATCTTGCTCGGCTAACTGAAGCGAAAGGCTGGCGGAGCTTGGTGTTAAATTGTGGCGCTGATGCCCTCGAAGCATTGAAGAAGAGAAACTGGGATGCAGTCTTCTTGGAAGAACGTTTGCCCCTGCTATCTGGAAAGAGCTGTGCTGCCGAGTTTCGAGAGTGGGAGAAAGAAAATCGGATCAACCAGCAAACTCATCTCTACATCATGTCCGACAAGGCCAAAGCGATCCCTCCGGGTGCGAACGGCATCTTGAATCAACCGGTGAATCCACGAGAATTTGAAGCACTTCTAACAAAGGCTGGAGTGTTTCCTTCTTTGTCAATCATTATGAGATAAAAACTATACTATATAGGGCACATTACATCAAGGTGGATTCATTTCAATTCGACCAGAAGGAAGCATTCTTGACTGCCGCTTCAAGAGATGGTCCAGCTTTTGATAGTTCGACTCAAGACGCTTGTCCAATTTCTCACGCAAATCACGCAGAGATCGTGGTCTAGACGAAATGGGATCGTTTAACAACGTATCGAATACCTCTTTCCACAAATCCGTTTGCCAATAGCGTTTGAATCTTTGCTTTGGCATCCATCTCTTCGTACGCTGGTCTTGCGTTATTTCGATGTGAGAGTAAAAGAGCAGCACATGGATGCTCGCACACAGTCCAAATGTGTCTGTATCAAACGACCAGGGTCGCTTCTTCTTCATTGCAACAGTCATCATGTCTTCTTCAGCTGCATCGCCGATCATTTTGACATCTTTGGCGTCGTGGGGACTGTTTGCCAGGTCAGCAAGATCGATGGCGCGTCCAAAGTCAACCAGCATCAAGTCTGCTCCGTCGACGCCCTGAGAAGAGCAAAGAACCCAGTTGTCGGGCTTGACATCGCAGTGCAGAATGTTGCCATGCCAATGGAGGAGTTCCAAATGATGCAGCATCCTTGAGGCATAATGGAGCGGGATCAAGTCTTCAATCTTCTCATTGTGCCGGCGATACAGGTTCACCAGGTCGACAAGGTGCAACCCACTATCCGATGCTGCCGTCATGCTCATCATCCCGCCGTCTGCCAAAGCAACAAACGATAACGGCTTGGGAAATGGAAAGAGATCGCACTGTACTCGAAGATGTACCTTCTTGAGAATTTCATATTCCATAGCCAACGTTTCGGTTGAAGCTTGTGCCTTGACTGCCATCGAGGTGCTGCTGGGTTCATCATCCATACTCAAGAGTACAACAATGCCGTGCGCCCCCCTTCCTAGCTCGCGTTTCACGGTGCCCTTGCTGTGTCCAATCTTCAGAACAGAATTATTGTCCAGCAGCTTCTTTCTGAAGGCCTTTGGAAGAATGTACTTTGGGAGATTGTACACGGCAGTAGCTTTTAGGATTTCTGCGAGGCTTGGACATTGCTCCGTCCCTGAAGCAGACTTCTTGACCCTTTTCAGCGCGTCTGTTTCTGCTGCCTTCAGAGTTTGGCCATAATCGACAGCCTCCTGCTGTCCAAAGCAGCTGAACGTTATCGTGGGAGACGCAATTGGGTTTCTGTTAGGGGGGAGTGATATGTTGTCAATGACAGATATGTCACCGAAGCTGTTTGGATCGGTGATTGTCGTCCCCTTGGGCCTAAAAGAGACGCCCTGCAGCAGATTGAGTGGAAATGGATGAGGAAGGATTTGGATTGAATGCAACTTGCGCGCAAAACCACAATTTTTGTCACTTACTCACATCTCCTTTTTGAGACCACTCGTCGATGCTTGGAGAACTGCTTGTGTCGTGGGCAGGAGCACTGTTTGTCGTGTCTTTGACTGGAGACGGACAAGTCTTTGGGAATTCGCCTTTGCTGTTTCCAAAGAGTAAAAACATTGTGTCCTCCGAATCCACGGGTTCTGGCGATTCTGAGTGTTTCGATTTCAACTCTGACTCTCCGACTTCCTCGCAAGCACTGAGCAGTTCCTTCATGATTAGTGCAGTACTTTCGGGTTCCTCGCTGAGCGATGCCGTTTCCTTGTGTGGAACTTCTGTCTTGGTGGCATTACTCGTAGAGGCAATTGCTGTCCTTGGTGGTCTCGGTGGTCTCTGCACAAGGACGACCTTTTCAGTAGTTGCTGTAGACGAGTTGTGATTGTCGTTGCCTTGATCACATTTGTCATCTCTATGGATTTCAAAAGCAGGACCGTTCTTGCTTGCACTGGTGGCAGGAATAGCATCATGCTGCTCTTGCTCTTCGCTGAAAATGTGAAACCCTGGGCCCTTCGTTTGGCTCGTAGACTGAGGCATGGCATCGGTCGAAGAGTTTTGATTGTCGTTGCCTTGATCGTCTCTATGGATTTCAAAAGCAATACCTTTCTTGCTGACATTTGCAGGAATGGCATCATGCTGGTATTGTTCTTCGTTGAAAATGAGAAACCCTGTACCCGTTGTTTGGGTCGTTGACTGAGACATGGCATCGGGTACCAAAGGGCGGGATTTGGAATTGACTTCATCGTCTTCATTGCTCTCTTCGAGGATTGTGACAGGACTGTGACCGTCGTTGGGGGCATGAGCACGTCGCTTGGGACTGGGTTCGCCTTGCAGGATTGCGCCGAAAGCCCGTCGGCGAGCACCTCCTTGGCTTGGTTGTTGTACCTGGGGCCTCACTCTTTGGCTTTCTCTATTCTCGTGAACGGCTTCGCTTGATCCAAGGCCGACAAGCGATTTGTTGACATTCCGGTCGTGGCACCCCACTAGATCCATAACAGTCGAGAAGGCGTCAGCTTCGTTTTCAGAATCAGCATTTTCAGCACCCTTCGTCGCGGGAAGACTATCAAAGCTGGTCTGGTGACAGACGTCACTCAAGAGCTCTTCGTGTTCACCCTTGAGACGCCGCGTCTTCTTGCAGGACTGTGTCAACCCATCTGCTGGACTGCAGAACATCATGCTCATTTCGTGCATTGCCAGTTTCGTGTTGATGGTTTCTTCGCCAACTGCATGCGCTTCGTTAACGGTAGAGCTACACTGCGAAACGTTGATGCTCCTGTCTCTCAGTTGTTCAAAGCTGACCCTCTCTCTGAAAAGAGCACGGCGAGATCCTTCCGTTCGGCTACTTCCAAACGCACTGTGACCGCCACTCGTTGAATCTTCCATCGATCGATCACCAGTCGTATTATTCTCGTCAATGTCCATATCTGAATCGTCAACTGCAGAAATCCTGCCACTTCTTTGTTCCAATGCGTTGAAGTTTGTTTCCGGAGGTGCCACCTTGTATCGACCAAAGAATGCTCGATGTTCGTTGAAACATTGCTCCCGACCGCGGTCATTCTTGACTAGACGCTCTCCAACGTAAGCAGTCCTAGATGTTGCCTTCTTGCCTTCGGAACGATGGCTTCGTTTACGTAGTCTGTCCTCGTCTACGAGATGATGCGCGGCAGTCGCTTCTTCTTCAACCAGCTGCACCTTCTTGGCCCGGTCTTCATCATGCTGCAGTCTCGATGGATCTTTCACGTAGCGAAGGGGGTCCTGGAAGAGCTTTTCTGCGACGCTTTCTCCAGACTCGAGTTGACGGAAAGTGCGTTCATCGCGGTGTCGCCGTCTCCGGTCTTCATCAGCTTGTCCCATCAACTCTTTGCGCTGGTTTTCTGCTTCACATTCTTCGTCAATAAACACAGAAAAACCTTCCGACTTTGTTGGCATTTGTCTTGGAGCATGTGACGGCGGGGCTGTCGCATATCGAGAAGCGGCGTTGGCAGTCTGAAGCCCTCCTCTCAGGTTCCATTGCTCAGCAGCGATGGTGTTTTCCTTTCGACGGTCTTTCTCCCGAGCCAAACGTCGATTTTCGTTGTTGCCAACGTGATGATCCAAGTTGTACCCATCGTTCTCTTGCCCGTCTTGAAAGATTCGAAAACCAGCAGAACTCGGCAGGTTGTTCGATTTGCCCTTTTGATGGGTTGTGTTCTGGGTCGAACTGAAATGTCTGGAACTGCCATGACCTCGAGCTGACCGATCTCGAAAGGTCGACATGTTAGATGATGGCATGTTTTGGCTGCGATGAGATTGTCTGGACTGTGGTGGGTTGTTTCGGTTCCTTGTGGATGATCGATCGTTTCTCCGAAATGCGTCCTCCGTCAATCTGCCAAGTACGGCATGGCTATCACGACCGTCGCCGTCATCCTCTTCGGTGCCAATGCCCTGCTGTTCATTCCTGACACGTCTTGCCATTCGCCTTTGAAACTGTTTGTAGCGCTGCTCGATAACATGTTTGGGCTTGGCTCCCTTACTTTTTGCTTTGGTGAGTATCTTCTCGGCAAGTTTGAAGTCGTGTTGCTTCTCCGCCCAGAATGCCCAAGCCATCCAAAATATTGCTGTGAGAGTGCCAATATGGGAGTCATGAAGAAAACGAAACACTTCTCTTGGCTCCCTTGCCTTGTCTGCATAGGACACACAGACGCGAATGAAGCGGACGTCATTGCGGTACTTGTGCTGTCCGACCAAGGCTCGAGTACACCGTTCCAGAAGCAGAAACTCTTTCTGTGTGTCCGCAGGAAAGGACTCTTGGCAGAATTTGATGTACGATAGCCAATGAATGAGTGGATCCTGACCGTCGTCTTCTTCCAGCGTGATTCTATTCTCCATCATTTTTTCGGAAGGTTGCACTAGCACTTCAAAGTGCCTAATCAAAGTTTCTTTCCTTTGCTTGTCCTCTTCTGTTTCAACGCAAGACTTCTCGAGTATGGCAACATTCCTACCCCTTCCGAGTGGAGCCGCATTTTCCTTGAACGCTTCCCAAGTTGGTGTCTCGGTAGCCATGGTCGTCTTTATCTTGAGCTTGCGTCTTGCGTCCCTTGTGGTTTGTTTTGTTTCTGCTCTCGAAAAAATGAGCAAAAAGAGCCGTTCCCAGCAGCAGAAGGTAAAGCGTTAAATGCTCGCACGACTGAATGTAATCAACGGCCATTTGTTTGTTGGGTTGGGGTTTTGACGTTTTGACGTTTTGACAACAAACTAGACTAACGCCCTCGAGAAATTTTTTTAAGCTAGTACTATAAAGGTTGAGCCCCCGCAGGGGGCTCTGAACCATAAAGATTGGGCCCCTTGGGGCCCAACCACCAAGCTAGCTAGCTAGTGGGAGTGGAATACATGGTCTTCTGGCTTGCCCTCAAAGCACTGCAGCAGAGCCTCCTGCATCTTCGACTTTGTCTTTGGGGTGGACCATCCCAGGACCCTGGCCCAACCCTTCATGTCTGCGAAGCTTGTGCGTGGGTCCAACAGCTTGGCTTTGGTCAGACCACCTTGCTTTGGAGCAGCCTTTCTCTTGCCAGCGGCATGTTCATTGATCCTGGCCATCTGAACAAGCTGACCCTTGTCTCTGAGCAAAGCTTTGGCATGCTGGGGCCTCAGCCTACCCCTGAGACCAGCGTTGCCCTGCCGCATCATGTTGAAGTGCATTCGATCGAATGATTCAGCAGCCTTGCAAGGGCTCTCACAACAGGAGATGTGACTCCATGGACTGCTCCCTGTGGGAAATGGCGCTGCAGATATTGATCCAATTTCCCCGCCACTAGAGGAGTCCTAGCTTTCACAGAGGCACGTCCTATCTTGCCAACAGCCGCCAAGAACACCATGCCGTTGTCGTCCACCTTGGGGAACCGTCCACTGGAGTACAGGTTCTGGATGTAGTGGTCGATACCAGCCAGCGCCTCTTTCGTACTCGCACTCATCGTCTTCGGAGGAATGAAAGCGGCTATATCCTCGGCTGCGGTGAGTACCTCTGCGAAGTACCTCTGCGGCTACTGAATGTGGTAAGTACACCTCTGCGAAGTACCTCTGCGGCTACTGAATATGGACGGGATGACCTCGGTTGTATGGTCTTGCTTCACTATCTCGCTCAAATTCGAAATCCTCTGGACCGTCCTCTGGATGCATGAAATCCTCTGGATGCATGCTCGGTCGGTCTTTCGAAAACAACACGAAACAACACGACGAGAGACTGATCGAGCTGACACAGAGATGCGAAATATTGAATCGTGTGCGACTGACGTCACTGACGTCACAGCCGATCAAACGATTCTGATTGGCTAATCTCCTCTACAGCGGCTCTACAGCGGTAGTGTACGGTTGGGTGGATGGCGGTACGGCGGTCCCGCTGTACTTTCTGTACCAATCCTTTTATGTTCTGTTATGCGAACTACCGTCTAGCTAGGCCTGTAAGAATTTTTTTAAGCTAGTACTATAAAGGTTGAGCCCCCGCAGGGGGCTCTGAACCATAAAGATTGGGCCCCTTGGGGCCCAACCACCAAGCTAGCTAGCTAGTGGGATTGGAACACATGGTCTTCTGGCTTGACCTCAAAGCACTGCAGCAGAGCCTTTGCATTGTTTATTGTCACACTTGCAGATGAAGCAGTACATTGGTATGCGACCCCTGAAGGAAGCAATTGCTCTGTGTTGGCCTAGCTTGAGGCCACTTCTGATAACCAAAGACACATGCTTGTTGGTGCCACAATGGGGGCATGGAGTCTTGAGTCCTTCTTTGGCTGTTGCTGGGTCCATGAACTTGTACCTCGAATGCTTTTCCAAGTCCTGCGGTCAAATATCTCAGGCATGAAGAAGAAAATTCGAGTGAAAGCTTAGATCTCGAATTCCATGGCTGCTAGAGACTGTTCCTTTGCCTTCCATGGCTTGTCGATGACCTTCCCGGGTTTGAAGAAACTTGTAATTTGGGACTGGCCTGCAGCTTCGTCGTTCCTTGCAAGGGCTCTCATAACAGGGGATGTGACTCCGTGGACTGCTCCCTGCGGGAAATGGTTCTGCAGATGCCGATCCAATTTCCCCGCCACTAGAGGAGTCCTAGCTTTCACAGAGGCACGTCCTGTCTTGCCAACAGCCGCCAAGAACACCATGCCGTTGTCGTCCACCTTGGGGAACCGTCCACTGGAGTACATGTTCCAGATGTAGTGGTCGATACCAGCCGGCGCCTCTTTCGTACTCGCACTCATGTAGTGGTCGATACCAGCCGGCACCTCTTTCATACTCGCACTCATCGTCTTCGGAGGATTGCGATGAAAGCAGCTATCTCCTCGGCTGCGGTGAGTACCTCTGCGAAGTACCTCTGCGGCTACTGAATGCGGTAAGTACACCTCTGCGAAGTACCTCTGTGGCTACTGAATACGGACGGGATGACCTCGGTTTTATTGTCTTGCTTCACTATCTCGCTCAAATCCTCTGGATGTGTGCTCAGTCGGTCTTTCCAAAACACATGCTAATAACACGACAAGAGACTGATCGAGCTGACACCGGGAATATTGAATCGAATCGTGTGCACGAACGTCAGCGACGACTGACGTCATCGAATCTAAAGATCGAACGATTCTGATTGGCTAATCCTCTACAGAGGCTCTACAGCGGCTCTACAGCGGTAGTGTACGGTTGGGCAGATGGCGGTACAGCGGTCCCGCTGTACTTTCTGTACCAATCCTTTTATGTTCTGTTATGCGAACTACTGTTGTGCCTGTGACTCAACTCGACTCGACTCAGCATCCACGGTGAAGCATTAGAGCAGGAAGGTTCGGCCTGAGGCCTGATCCTGCTGGATCTTGGATCGCACCAGCAGCAATCACGAGCTGAAAGTCAGTGCTTTACTCAGTCAGTCAGTGCTTTACTCAGTCAGTGCTTTACCCAATACTGCTTTACTGAATGCTCAGGTTGTCATTGGTGGTCCATTAAAACAGAGCTTCGAAGTGCTGCTACTACTACTACTACTACTATTACAACAACAACAACAACTACTACTACTACTACTTGTAGCTAGAACCAAAAGTGGAGTTCTAAGAAGCATAGCAGGGATCAGAGAAGGCTACGAGCACTGGATGAGTAACCGAGGACTGGTGACGGAAACTGCGTTTTGTAGGCGCGGGTGTTGGGTCTAATAACACTGCAGCTACTAGTAATATCAAGGTTAATTTGTTGATTTGGGCGAGCTGAGAAGAAAAAGTGATCTTTCTGGCTGGTCGCACTTGTTGCCCAAGGGATGGAAGATCTGGGGTGACAGAGCCAGGCCGCAGCACGAAAAGAGATGGATCACTACAACAAGCGTGTGGCATTCGCTCCAGTTTTAGCCAAAGGCTGTAAAGAATCGGAGCTCAAGAAGTCTCCAGTGACACTCATGTTCTGTACGGAAAAGCGAGACGAAACCACAAGGCCAGATCCGTTTTCAATGGAAGCCAACGAGAGTATACCAGGACAAGGATGAAACACGAAGTCGACAGTTTCGCTTGAAGGCCTAATGTTGTCGATGTGCGTCAATGCCAGTGAAGGCCGCGACGTGATGATTTTGGATGTACCCAATGCTTTTATTCAGACAGCATTGGCGCAACCCAAGGATGGTGGTGATAGGTGATCATGAAAATGAGGCATTCTTGCAGAATATGCTTGTGGAAATCGACCCAGACACTTAAAAGCCATTCCTTGTCTATGAGAAGGGGAACCTATCCTCTACGTTGTGGTACTGAAGGCACTTTTGGAATGCTCATTGCGAGTCTACTTTGGTACAAGGCATTCCGCAAGGATTTTGAGTCTATTGGTTTTGTATTCAACCCCTATGACCTTCATTGTCGCCAAAGGATGGTCAAGGGCAAGCAACAGACTATCCGTTTCCATGTCGACGACCTCATGCAAGTCATATGATGGCCAAGTTGAATGATGATTTCCTGGCCTGGTGCAACAAGAAGTATGGTACCTACGGTGCTGTCAAATCAACCAGAGGACCCAAGCACGACTATCTAGGATGACGATTGATTTTTCGGAGCCTGGCAAAGTCAAGATCGATATGATGACTATTTGACCAAGGTGCTCGAGAGTTCCCTGTATAACTTTGATCATGTTCGTTCTGTTCCGAGTGCAGCCCCAGCTGATTTGTTTTCTGTGGGTGACGGTGACAACCTGGACCCTGATACGAAGGTATACCTTCCACACGAACACAGCCAAGCTACTCTTTGCCTGTAGCGTGCACGTCCAGATATGCAACATGACTACCGTCCTTGTTACTCGAGTGAAACAGCCGAACCGAATAGTTGGGGAAAACTTCTCCAAGGCCTCAATTTATTCAACAGACTTTGATGACAAGCTCATTCCTCCATTGCTGACGACGATTACTACTTATCCATGTGGGGTTGACGCGAGTTTTGCTGTTCATCCCGACTATCGATCCATACTGGAGGAGTGCTCAGTTTCGGCCGCGTGCACCATTGCTGTTCTAGCAAGCAGAAGCTCAACGCCGCAGCAGTACCGACGCCGAACTCATTGGAGCCACGATGTTATGAGTCCTTTGTTGTGGACCAAGTTATTTCTGAGGCTCAAGGTGTTGATGTTCAGAGGAACATCCTCTATCAAGACAACAAGAGTGCTATCATTCTCGCTGAGAATGGTAAGAGCAGCGCCGGTAAGCGTACTCGTGCTCTGAATGTGCTTTTCTTCTTTATTCACGACCAATGAAGCAGGGAAATGTACAGTGGTGTATTGTCCCACACAGGAATGCACGGGGACTTTCTCACGAAGCCCCTCCAAGGTTGCCCTATTCCATGCGCATCGCGCTTTTATTATGGGGCATCCTCCTATTTAGTTAGTTTTAATCGTTCCGTGGATCCATTAGGACCACGGCAGGAGTGTGTTGCCGGTCTAGATATTTAGCGGACCCGGATAAGAAAAAGACCGCACCACCGTAGGAATTTAGGAAACTGGCATTCTCAGATCCAGACTTCAAAGCGACCAGCCAGAAAGATCACTTTTTCTTCTCAGCTCGCCCAAATCAACAAATT